ATAATAGGGTGTTGATGAACTGGTTAGTGCGACTCAGATCTTGAGCCTGAAGTTTGGCGCTTCTCATTTCATTCTGGCGACAATGTTAGCGGAAAGAAAGAAGCAAGGGAAACAGACCCCCTAGGAGAGTTTTGTGTGGTGCTCACAGAAAGACGCTTCAGAATCTGATCCGTAGCGATAGGTGTTAGGAAAAAGGGACGTTGCTGCGCCATTCCATTCATATGGCCATTCATGGTGCCGCCGTTAACAAGCATACGACCGTTGTTGCCCATGGACATGTTGCTTCCGGCGCGGCCTCGCATCTGCATGGCCCCGGCAGGAATCATCATGGCATTGTTGGCGGGGTCCAGGTCTCCAAAGTTCATATCCAAAACGTTGTTCGACGTATTTAAAAACCCGGCGTGCTCGATTTTCGCGGCGACCTTGTGGTGAACGACGGTTTTCTGATCTTCGCTGACGATGTCAATACCGAGCTCCAGATGGTCGGCAGTCTGGAGTTCGTGGGGCTCCGATTCACGATTCTCCTGAGACAATCGGGTGCCGTTGACAAAAGTGCCGTTTGAGGATTTAACATCCCGAATGTAGATTTTGCCGTTTCGTTCGGCAAAGATTTCAGCATGCTGCCGCGATAGCACTTTACTATCGAAGAAGCCATTCGTGGCAGTTGGCACCGTCTTTTGGTTCGTCTGCCGTCCGATTCGTATGGAATCGGGAGCAAATGGCACTGCGATCGTCTTGCGCTCAAAGGTGCCGTTTAAAGACAGTAGATAGAGCATGGGCTGACCGGGGGGGAACTGCTGCTCGTTGGGCCCCATGGGTCGCATCATTCCCTGAGGCCCCATTTGAGGCTGTCCCGGTCCGCCCTGTTGCATGGCGCCGTGGGGCGGCACCATGCCGTTGGGTCTTCCTTGAGGAAGCCTCGAAAAGTCGGGCTGCACGTTTTCTTTACCGGTCGGCCAAGGGTTCTTTGGTTGAGGTCTCTTTCTGCCTGCGCTGCCATTCGACCACTGACTTAAATCCGAAGCTGATGACAGCGATGTGGCATTGGAGTGGGAGCCATTCGTCGCAACAGTCGTATTGGAGGCGTTTGAGGCGATGGAGGAGGATGAACTGCTTCGCGAGAGACTACTCTTGCGGGTCATGAACATGCCTCTGACATCCTCTGAATTCATCTGGTTGTTGCCATTAATAGTGCCCCATGGCGGCCGGGAGATCTGTGGAAACGTTGGAGGATTTGCGACGGCAGTCATGAGTAGGGCTTAGGAAGGCACGTTGGGTATGTGGCTGTGAAGAAAACGCAAATTTGCCGTCGCTCAACGTAGGTTCGTTTTTATGTCGATACGCGTTGAGTAAAACCGTTGGGCTTTTTTCGGGAATCGCCAACCACCGGCGCCGCTGAGACAAGGGCAACCGAAAAAAAAAACAAAGACAAAGACACGCGTGCCGCAGATTGAACTCAAACGGATATTTTGTCGATGCGATGCGGCTCCGAAGCAAAACGGCTCTATCGCTTGCGATCGACGGGGGAGAGACGCAGAAACAGTCGAAGTCGTTGTCAGCGTGCTGTCATGGAAAAATCGTCAGCATGTTGTTGATGTGGCTCCTTTGTCCAGCACCAATTGGGGGTTGGCATGGCACGACCAAGCGAAGGCCTGGGGATGTCGCCCCTGGCCCCTGGGCGGCCCTGTGCGCTGCGTCAAATGTGAAACATACTGTGAAATGATAGAAGCTCGCAATCCTGGGCGATTCCACACGTCGCTGACGAGCCTGGTGAAGCTCGGGCTGATGTTGCTTGGGGGATCTTGTTCGCTCTTCCTAGCCCGCTAAGCGCTGGGCTAGGCGTGTCGAAAGCTGGGGGGCCAAATGATACAGTGCACGGTTTTGTCTCAGTGTCGACTGGCCCGGCTCCCACAACTCGGCCTCGAGGCAGGCTTTGTCATTTTCCGCGAGGGTTTTTCTAGACTCGGATCGGGCAGTCCCAGGCGATTGCTGTCCATCACAGATGGCCATATGGGGCCTTGAATCGGCTCATGACCTCGATTCACGTGATGCATCATCACAGTAGCGAGTTTGCTGGCACCTGGATATCCACACTGTGGGGGCCGCTAGCTGTGATTAGGATGCGCCGCATCAACCTTTTGCCGTTGCCGCGGTGGACGCAGCGTGGCCAATCACATCGCAAGCAGCTTTCTCTTGGATTGAAGCATCCAATCTTCTTGGATACCCGGTAACCGTCGAGGCACTTGGACCTTGGGAAGAGAAACAGCAAATCCAACTTCACAGCTTCTGCGCATTGCGTTGACTCCCGGCTGCTCACGATGCCTCCTGTCGCGCCGATTCACCATGGTGGCCAGCAGGCCCCGTCCACGTTCGACAAACGTACGGCATCGTATCATTATGAGGGGCCGCAATTTCGCTAACTGGAATCGAATAGTCAAGATGGGCGCAATGATGGGCGGATGTAAGGGCTTTGAGAATAGCCTCGTTTCGGATCGGGTGTAAACTGACGACTTTGTAGCTGTCGGAGTGATTATGGGATTCATCTTTGGTAAGGCATTGGATGGGGAGTCTGCTGGAGCATATGGAGCTGACACCTTGATAGGCACTGTCAACATTTTCCGTTATGGTGCCGGATCGCAAGGCATTATGAGGACTCTGGGCCAGTACATGGGAGCATCTGGCGCAACCTTTGGGTTTGTCTACGCCTATTTTCTGTCTACCTAGTTGTTGGATGTGATACTGAACCAGATGCCGCAGATTCTTCATGGGAGTCGGTAGTGTCATCCGATCCGATGCGGACCCCAAGCTACAGGAGCTGTATATGCGAGCGCAGCGACGGCCGATAGTATTAAGAGCGAATTCGGCTTGGAGACGGGACGAATAAAGATACGCGACGAACGAATGGACGAACGACACCGAATGACCAATTGATGGCCGCACTGTGCGTATCCTGGTGGCCGAAATGACTGCCCTGTAAAATAGGAATAAACCAAACGACATTTACGATCGAAATCCGATGCGATTCATATCAATGTAAAACCATCCATGTTTGTGAAGGATATCTGGAACTGAGCTCTGTGCACGATGATGGAATAGCCACTCTGTTGCTAGCAAGTAGTATGCAAAAGCACGAAAATGCTTTTATCTCCGGATAGGCAATCCTATTCGATCCTTACCTAAGATCCTAGCTTTTGCTTCTCTTTTGATCATCTCTCTCTGCATTAGCGCAGAAGTTGATTTCAGTCCAGCCAGGGACTGATGCTTTATTTCGATAGCTTCAGCTGCTAATCGCTACTGATGTGGCGGATCTCACCTGGTGATATTTTGCTCAGCTTGTCAATTGTTCTTTGGAACTCTTGCGGCCTTCGCGCTCCTACGGCGGATTATCAGCTGAACCTTGGCATATATCAACTACTGTTTCATCATCTATATTTCTACATCGGAAAATACTCTCGGTCGAGTTTGTACGACAAACCACAAAGGATTAGCCGCCCAGGGGGATGTATTACAATTATCAAATCAGCCACTTCTTCAAGAAAGAGAGAGCCTACCCCTCAGCTGAAGGCCTTTTGAACTGTGGCCACGGCTCTTCATATGGGTGCTTGTATAAACTCGTATTCCTGCTATATTGACTCTTGGTACTCGATATAGAGCGAATGCCTGGTCGAGGATTGCGCTTCAGCTGAAGGCAACAGGGCCCAATCAGCTCATCTGGATGCTATATTCGCCGATCAAGGAGAGTAGTATCAGACAATTTTTCGGAATGATACTTTCAGCCTCGCTCACACAATCGGAGGAAATCTCCGTCTTGTGTAACGACTCACTTGGAGAACCCCTGCTTGAACAACCACTCGCATGAAATTACCGCCATTGTGGACATGCAGATTATGGCGACAAAGGACTTCTCGTATTCTTTACTAAATATTACTAAATGTCAAACGATGACGATGGATGTAGCACCAATGAGACCAAGATTCTCGAAAGTCCTAGCTCCCGGGATATATTGGTGGCTTTGTGTCTGCTATTAGACCACTACAGCGTCGCCCATCTTGGCGAAGCAGGATAACTATAACTGAATGCCTAGCTCCTCGTCAATATTCCTTCGTCTTCCTCGTGTTAGGTGTAACCTTGGCATAGACCCATGGCCGATTATCGGTCTGCTGATGATGAATGCAGGGCTGATATTTCACATGCTCGGAGCAGCGAGGAGAGTGCCGAGAAACGGTGTGAGTCATTGTATATGCGTAAAGAGAATATTTCAAAAGGAGCTTGGAGGTTGCCTGAAATGATATCTCTGGTTACAGATATTCTATGTTGTACCCATGTGCGCAGACTGTTGCCATGGGTATCGTCAGTCCACAATTTTTTTCAAGTGGGCTACACGAGATATCTCCTGCATCTATCTAGCGTCGGGTGGTCACATTATCCCGCCTGAATCTTCCTTGGGCACTGACGGTGTAACCTTTATTGATGAATCGGACTCTAGAAATAGAACAACTTTTAAGCACTTTGCAACAATTGGATGCTCTGTTAACGCTACATGGCTTGGCCTATGTCCTTAAATCTTCCTTTACGGTATACGAGAAACTAGAATGCTGTGCCATGGAAATCCTCCGATCTAGCTGGGCTGAATGGTTTCAGCAACAGCGGTTATTGTTGTTTTTCCTTTTCGCCAAGAGACTCAGGAGAGAATGTGATGTGAGTGAATTTGTTTTACGCAACAAGGGTAGAGGGCATTTCTGATAGCGGCTCCTTCGGAATTGTCTTACTTACTTATTGTTGACAACACCCCGGTATGGCTTCATGGGTTACGATCCTGGGAAGTGAAAGCCGAACAATTGGTCATCGAAATTACCGAAATCACCGCTGAAAATGTGAATACACTTGCCTACAAGTATATAAAGAAAAGAAGGGAACATTGAAATTGTATGGACACGACCTCTTCTGATCCACGATAACCATCTTCAGCTTGACTGTCTTCGAATCATAATTCAACCATCATGGGGGTTTCTCTCAGCCGTCGAGGAGAAGAGGGTGCCTCTTTGGCCACAAGCAAACTCACTCAGAAACAAACTAATGGGTATGTATTGATGATGTCCTACCCCTTTGCTCAGAAGAAGTCGTTTGTAACATCTCTTCAGATTGTCTGTCCTTGGAGCCTTGACTGCTCCAATGCTCCCTGCTTTCCTTACGAATAATCCAACCCCTAATGGATATCCATGGAGTACCCTTGATACCCAAACCAATTACTATGATACAAATCCCAATACGGGTGTCATACGATCCTATGACTTTACAGTCAGCCGTGGAGTCATTGCTCCGGATGGATATCAGCGCGATGTTCTATTGGTCAATGACGCTTTCCCGGGCCCCTTGATCGAGGCAAATTGGGGCGACACCATTCAAGTAACTCTGACCAACAACATCACCGGCCCAGAAGAGGGCACAGCGCTTCACTGGCACGGATTCCTTCAACAGGGGACTCCGTGGGAAGACGGAGTGCCTTCTGTAACGCAATGCCCCGTGCCTCCCGGGAAGAGCTTCACATATCAGTTTGCGGCAACCCTATATGGCAGTTCTTGGTACCACTCGCATTACTCTTCGCAGTATGCCGGTGGTCTTTTAGGCCCCATGGTGATTCACGGACCGAAGTCGCAAGACTACGATGTCGATATTGGTCCTGTAATGCTGGCTGACTGGTATCATGAGCAATACTTTGATCTGGTAGAGAAGACTATGAGTCCCGTGCAAGCCTTGACTAGATTCAACTCTGACAACAATTTGATCAATGGCAAGGGAAACTTCGACTGCTCCCAGGTCACCGATGGTACGCCATGTACCAACAACGCCGGCATTGCGAAATTCAAGTTTCAGCGCGGCAAGACTCACCTCCTTCGACTTATGAACACCGGGGCGGAGGGCCTTCAGCGCTTCTCCATCGACGGCCATAACATGACAGTCATTGCCAACGACTTTGTGGATGTTCAGCCCTACGTGACTAAAGTCGTTACGCTTGGTATTGGCCAGCGAAGTGATGTCCTTGTCACGGCAGACGGTGAGCTGGATGCCTACTGGATGCGCAGCAACATCAGCGAATGCTCCAATGCCAACCAACCATATGCTCTGGCGGCCATCTACTACGACGACGCAGATACTAATACGGACCCCGAGTCCACGCCTTGGAATGTTCCTGATCCGCTAACTTGTGTGAACGATGACTTTTCGATCACGGAGCCCGTCATGGAGCTTGCCCTTCCCGAGCCAGATCTGGAGCTCGACATGGAACTGACGTTGTTCCAAAACGAGACTGGCCATACTTTATGGGCACTGGACGGAGTTACATTCAGGGGTAACTATAACAGTCCGACGTTGCTGCTCAGCAATCTGGGTAACTACAGCTTTGAGCCCGAGTGGGCCGTGAGAAACACGAGCACAGCAAAGAGCGTCAGAGTGAATCTCTTCAACAACTCCCCCGCTGGGTAAGTCCATCTCCAACCGTCTTCTCGACCAAATGATTCTTAAAACTAACAATCTAATCTTTCAAGACATCCTATGCATCTTCACGGCTTCAACATGTATCTCCTGCACCAAGGTCCCGGTCAATGGGACGCCGAAGCAATCGTCCGATCATCCAACCCACAACGCCGCGACGTCTTCCTGATTCCTAGTGGCGGACACGTCGTGTTCCAATTTGACGCGGCGAGCAATCCGGGTGTGTGGCCGTTTCACTGCCACATTGCCTGGCACGCCACCGCCGGGCTGTTTACGCATTTCCTTACGGATCCGGAGGGAGTGAGAGCAATGAGTATTCCGAATGTAGTGGCGGAGACGTGTAGACAGTGGGGGACTTGGACGAATACGAATATTCCTGAACAGATTGATAGTGGGCTGTGAGAGGCGGGTTGCGGCTGAGAGTATATACGTACGCAGGAACTGTGTTTCAGTCTGGCAATGTCTGAGTATGACACCGAAGAGCTTATTTCAACATATAGGCTCAATTGTACATTAAATGAAACGAATCTCCAATTGTATCAGTTATTTATCAGAAAGGACCACGAGTGTTGACGATTGATGAGATGATGGTGTGTTGCTTCTGCATTCTGTTGCAAGGGAATATCATCTATCTGAGCGTATATACCAAACATATGAGTAGCAAAGTCTGAAACCCAGCCGACCTGCCGAATAAATAGGTAGGCACTCGGTGTAGCTATGTATCTAAAAGCAAATGTACGGAAAATAATCATGCAATCTATCAAGTCATAACATAGATTCTTGGGCTTAATTTTGCTGGGGCTTCTCTTCACCTTCTTTCTTCGTTGGCTCTTCAACGTCTTTGCTCTCTGCCGTAGTAGCCTCTTGTGTTTTCTGCTCGGCGCTCTCCTGGGCTTTTGGAGGCTCTGTACTTGAGCTGGGTTCGTCCACTGGTTTAGAATCCGCTTCTGAGGGCTTCTCAGCGTTTTCTGCCTTGGTAGCTTCTTTGGTGTCCGTATCGTCCTTGGGTGCCTGGGCATGACTTGGTGCATCATCGCCTGCTTTCTGGCTCTTCTCTTCATCCTCTTTTTTCTCCTCTTCCTTCTTCTCCTCTTCCTCCTCAAGCTTGAGGACCGTCTCAATTTCTCCAGTCAACTTCTGTAACTCATCTTCAATCTCTTCGTCACGAGCAGTCTGGCTGCGCAGTTGTCTCTCAGCCTCCTCATTTCCAACAATATTTCTCCACGTATCATCCAGCTCGTCTGTCCAGCCCAACAACTTGGCTAGTTTTCTGATACCATCATCACATGCTCCCAATTCTAGTACGTCATCAAGTCGCGATCCCAATGAACCAACTTTCTCCATGTTGAAGAGCACACGTGGTACCTCTTTTCTCGCCATCTCGGGAAGGCTTGCGAATGGATACACCGTCAGGCTTGTCCCGAGAATGAGAACAAGATCCGCCATGGCAGTGTTGTGTGACTTTTCTGAAAAGTCTCTTGGGAGGGCTTCGCCGAAAAATGTAATGTCCGGCTTCACCAGTCCCTTGCATTCGTTGCATTTGGGAACGTCGCCTCGAACAACATGCGCTCTCATCTCAGCATCGGGGAACTCGACCTTGCACTCAATGCAGCGCTGCGTCGCAAAACTGCCGTGGGCTTCGACAATCTTATCCGCAGGAACGCCAGCCGCCCGTTCGAGACAGTCAATGTTTTGCGTAAAGAGCATTTGAAGGAGGCCCTTTTCAGCAAGAAGCGCAATGAAGGCGTGAGAGATGGTCGGGTGGAATTTCCCGGGATACAACTCCTGGGCGAGCACGTAGAAGGGCTCGGGGTGATTGCGAAAGTAGGCAATGTCGAAGACGGCCTCTGCATAGGGGAGCTTGAGGCGCGCCAAGTTGCTATACAGGCCCGTCTTTGGCGATCGGAAATCGGGAACTGTGCAATTGTCAGCTGCATCAACATGGGGGCGGAATCATGGGCCAGCGTACTTCCAGCGGCTGTCGAGATGCCAGCGCCGGTCAAGACCACAATGCGCCGAGCATTGCCGCTCTTGATATAGTCAGCGACGGCTTCCAGGCTTCTCTCTCGGAGTGTCGCTGGAGGGCCAGAGGCAGCGGCCAGATGGGATTCTTCTTGTCCCATTTTGCGGGCAAGCCAGCGGGGGACGCGAGGGCCGGAGGGCTTGTGGCGATTGCGGTGTTTGCGACCTATCTTGGCGGATTTTTGATAATTTTTTGAACGAGTCTGTCGGTGGCTAAAAGATGCGGTGATGGATGGGCAGATTCATGCAGCTTCAAAGAATTCGGAGATGGGCAGATGGGCGCGAACCAATGGTGGGGCACGGCATGTGAGAGGCAACAGGCAGGTATAGGCAGGTACTTGCCTTGCAGGTACTGTGCCTAAAGTTACATCATTGAAACCCCTTGATGCCTTATCGATAAGATGAATGAGCAAGGTGATCACTTAGTACCTGTACGTACCTACCTAGTAACGATACAACATCATCAGCATCAGGTGAAAGACGAAAGAACACTGAAAGTGCATGTATTTGATGGATTTACGGGTATGCCTCTGAAGACGGATAGAAAAAAAAACAAAAAGAGTATTGACGAAACCAACTCCCGGAAACAAAGGCCCAAATCAGAATCTGACCTGTCTACCAACCCTCATCCCCGTTTATAAAATAAAACGCCTAGCGATGCCCCCCTTGACGCCCTCTCTCCGGATATCACGTCACCATAACAAAACCTCATCATATGTGGCGCTGCCTGGCCGCTGCAAACTGCTCCTCCTGCAACCGAGCCAGCTCTTCCATAGACATGCCGCTATTGGCAAACTTGTCTGCCTTCTTCTCTCGCCCCTGTTGACCATGTTAGCGCTGCAAACCGAGGACGTGGCGGCGGGAGACATGCGCGAACCTTTTGAACTTCCTTATGTTCTGCTGCGGCTTCTAGAACGGCTGGCACGTAATCCGAAAAGCCGAGGCGTTCTAGTGCCTTTGTAATGTGATCACACGCAATCGTCTTCTTGGCTTCCTTCTCCGAGATCTCATTGGCCTCGGAAGAGATGAGGGTGATGAATTCAACGCAGCATTCGATGAGCAGGTCACGGGCCTCTTTTGCGAAAGAGACACCCGTCTGCGGCGGCAATATCTCGCTGACGATCTTCTGAACCGTGGCTAATACACACTGTAAGCTTCATCATCTGCAAATGTGATGGTTGCGTATCACATAGCCGCCGGGGGTGGAACCGAAGTATCATGTTTCACTGCCACCGTGAGGCGGAGAGCAAACATACCTTTGGGCAGAGATAAGTCGTCGTTGCTTCCTGTGAAAAAACATGTTAGCAATGCAATGTCGACAGCATGACTTGTTGGTGCAGTGTGGTACTGTTGCCTGGAAACGAGTTGTTCCAGTCATTCTCATTTTCGGATTCCCACATCGCGGGCTTGGTGGTGCGAACGAACACACGGACTCTCGGTGGCGGATATGGAAGGACAGGGAGTCAAACAAGGGCTGAAAAGAAATCAAGAGCGCAAGCAGGAGGTGGAATCCGTAACCATTATAAATTCACAAAAGGACCCTCTAATGGTGATGCGCGGGCACAGGTGGAAGGTTTGTATGAGAATCCCATGACTTCATGATACAAACAATGAAACCGAAAGCTTGGCCTTATTGGTCCCTCACCACGGCAACAACAACGGAAGCAGTGACGCACGACCACCGTTCTTTGAAGGATGGGTAGGGAAAAAAAGGGCAAGTTGAAAGGAACCAACGCGCTGCACAGAAGCTCAACGTAACGTACCTCCAAACTCATGATCCGACATGTTGAAAGAGATGCGTCGTAAATGCGACTGTGGCTTAGACGCGATACTGCCTGAGACCGAGAGCGACGACGAGTGAACAAAGTTGCGCAAACAGAGGTGAGCGCGGGAGATGTGGATGAGAGAGATGGGGGCGGAATATATGTAGAGTTTAGAGTGAGAGTAAGAGTAGAGATGCGCAAGATATTCGACACAATCAAGGCTGGATTTGTGAGGCTGCCGAGGGCATAGAATATGCCGGCTTAGGGAGTGATGGATGATGGACTTGAATATCTCCCGGCCAAACGGTTTGTTAGTGGGGCAGCCGCTGCTGTTATACTCGAGCGCTGGTACTTGGCCAAAGTAGCCGGTACCTGGACGCGCCCAGCATGTGTGCTGCGACTGGCGCGCGCCGATTGCAAATAGCAGTGCAGCCCACTGGAACTCTGGCGCTGACTGGCTTACAGAGGGGCTTCGTTCACGTGCCACAGCATTTCACCAAGTATGGAGTACAAGTGGATCTTTTTAGCGCGAACCCAGCTTTGGAAAAAAAAAATGTTTATTAGCTCGAGCTTGGGTTAAGAAACTTCTTCCTTCTTCCACCTCTTCATCACATTGCAGAGAGAGCAAAAAAAGCCAGCTCTGCATCAGCTCGAAAAGAGCCCGGAGCTTGCCTCTCCTCATCGGCATCATGCGTGCCTTCGCCGCTGCTCGTCACTACAGGTAAGAAACGTCTGATTATCCCGCGACGGGCCCCAATTGGTTCTATGATGAGATATGTTGTCGCCCCAGTCTGAGGAGGTTCGACAAGCCTCCCCTGCTGACAGACACAGTCTTAAGCCAAATAGACACTTTCCTGATTCACAACTGGTGCTTCACTTTGTTTCTCTATTATGGGCGATCCGTTTGTTGTGCTGCGTGGCTAACAGTGCTTCTCTCAGGCAGTGCAGAGTTTTTCAGGCTTGACAATGTAAGAACCGACCCGCTCCTCTCGACAAGCTTCGGCACATCGTGATGTACCAAGTAAAGTATTATCAAATTCCGAGATACATACTGCGGACACACTCTCCTGAACCATAACGTGCTCGACTTTTTGGATTTTCAATCTATGCCGTGTGAGCAAGTTGCATCAGAGACTAACTGATGGTATCAAGCTCGCAATGGAATGGAGATTTGGCATGACGATGGCAATGTCGGCATTGAATCATGAGGTAGGTGGCAGTAGCTTTTCTTCTTCTTCTTCTTCTTCTTTTGATGCACATCATCTTACACATTTGCGTGATGAAAAAACTTATATTCCATGCTAATACTGAATCCCCATGTGGAGATCATTAAGAGCTTTTCATCTTTCGACTGACTGCAATGTTTTTATTTCACATTTTTATCTTGTTCTATTTTGTCTTGGTCCAAGGCTAACATGACGAAGATGCAGGAAAGCAACAAATCATCCTTGATAAGCCGCCAACTCAGGTGAGTTCCAACTAGACAGACACCGTTAGTGATTGACATTGTAATTCGGGACTGGGGGACCTACACAAGGTATTTTCCACTCAGTTCTCGTGAAGGGTTGGCCACAAATTTGGCAATGACAGTTCCTGGCTGTTCGGGCTTGAGCAGCGCGCCTTGCTGGAAGGCATCGACGAAGCTCTGGTACTGCTTCTCGTCCATCGTGTCCTTGCCTTTTAGCCGTAGAGTTGCTTGCATGTCTGTGTCTACCCGGCCTGGTCCAATGGTGATGCTGGTGATGTCGGGCTCTTCAACCGCAAGATGAGACGCAATGGAGTTGATGGCCGCCTTGGATGAGCCGTAGGTACTCCATGCAACGTAGGGCTTGAGAGATGCTCCCGACGAAACCCAGAGGATGCATCCTTGAGTCTTCTTGACCTCATTCAGACTAGCCTTGGCCTATGTCATGTCAGCAGACGTCTCAATGACATTGAAGGCGTCGCTTTGTGCCGTCTCACCATGGCAATGTAGCTGAAGAAGTTTATGTCGTAGAGGCGCTTGGTGTCTTCCAGCGAAGCGGTTGCGAATTTCTCGGGCTCTAGAGTTCCATGGTTGATGACTACGCCGTCGATTTTCCCAAACGATTTGACGGCAAGCTCCGTCAGCCTCTCGGCAATCTAGCCGCACACTCTTGTCAGATATTCACATCTCATAAATATGTAATAATTGACCAGCCTTGTGCCAAGGCAAACGCAACAAACGCAACTCACTCCCGTACTTGTCATATCGCCGGCCACATATTCCACCTGGCCGGGATGCGCGTCCTTGAGCTTCCGCAGCAAATCCTCAGACCTGGCCGTGACGACGACCTTGTGTGATTGCGCTAAAAGCTGCTCAACAACGGCTGCGCCAAGGCCCTTGCTGGCGCCGGTCACAATGAATACCTTGGACGTCATTCAGGCGGACAATTGCAGGAGTCCGGTATCGAGGCGAGGCGTTTCTTTTACTTAATGCAAGGCAGGGAAGAGATCACAGTGCAGTAGGCGGCCCCTTGGTGACAACGGCTTCGGCACAGACAGGGATATTTTTTTTTCCCAGGCCGATAGCAAGGAGCCGCCGTGTGTGGGGGTGCGAATGAGGGGCTGCTGGTCCAAGAAAGTACGAGTAAGGTAGCCTCCGGTACGGTGAGCCGGATGGCGTATGGACTGACTCGAGTTTATAAGAATAAGAATGTCGGCTCCGGGGTAGAGGCGGCCGGTTTGTCTTGTTTGTCTCGTTCATATAAAGCAGAGCTGACGTTGCTGTTGGGGCGAGGATCGACGATTGGAGACTGGACAGCCTCATCTCAATCTCATTGATCTTGCTTGCAGCCAACACACAGTGGAAAGACGCCATGGCCAACACTGTCATCGTTGGGAGTGGTGTTATTGGCCTGTCGACGGCCTACTATCTGCTCCAACACCAGCCGGGCGGCTCCATCCACCTCGTCGACTCTGCTAATGAACTCTTCGCCTCGGCCTCTGGCTTTGCGGGAGGCTTCCTGGCCAAGGACTGGTTCCGCCCGGAACTGATGCCGCTGGCCGAGCTCAGCTTCGAGGAGCACAGGAAGCTGGCCGAGGCGGAGAACGGCAGAGAGAGATGGGGATACGCAAAGAGCGTGACGGTGAGCTACGAGCCGCACGGGACGCTGATGAACGGCAAGAGAGGCGAAGATTGGCTGCTGGAGGGGACGAGCAGAGCCGGGCTCGTCGACTCGCGGAGGGAGCACAAGGACGGGGAGATTCCCGACTGGCTGAGGAGGGTGGATGGCGACTCGGTCAAGGTGATTGATGATGGGAACGGCACGGCGATTGTGTGAGTTGTTTTGCATTCTTACATACATCATCCCCCTCCCCCCCCATTACTGTACAATGTTTCTATTTCTGAAAGCATTTGCTGACGGGACCAGGGATCCCCTGAGGTTCTGCAAGTTTCTCCTGGAAAAGGTCAAGGCTGCCGGCGTGCACATCCACAACCCTGCCACAGCGTCGCGCGTGGAAACCGACGAAGCCGGCAAACTCTCCGGCGTGGTGGTCTGCCGTGGGGAGGGCTCGGAGGAGACGGTGATTCCGGCGACCCGAGTGCTTCTGGCGGCGGGCTGCTGGACCCCCCACGTCTTCCACGACCTGTTCAAGAACCGCTACTACGTCGACGTGCCCATTGAGAGCCTGGGCGGGCACTCGATCGTTGTCAAGGCACCTGGCGAGGTGACGACATGCCACTCTGTTTACACGACCATGGGTCAACTCTCGCCTGAGGTGTACTCTCGACCGGATGGGGTGATTTACGTTGCTGGTGTGAACCATGCTTCTATTCCTCTGCCTAAACCTACTGTCAAGGCAGTGACTTTCAACGAGTCTATTGATAAGCTCAAGGACATTGCGCGACGTCTTATTGCTACGCCTAATGGAGAGGATTTGGAGATTGTGCGTGAGGGACTCTGCTTCAGACCGATTACGAAGAGGGGAACGCCGTACATTGCGAGGTTGCCAGAGGAGAAACTTGGAGAGGACTTCAGATCTGCGGAGCAGTCCCCCGGAGGTGTCTTTATTGCTTCAGGACACGGCCCGTGGGGAATCACTTTGAGCTTGGGAACGGGCAAGGTGGTTGCGGAGATGATGTCTGGGAAGCCGCTCAGTGCTGATATTTCTAGCCTGGGCTTCTAGAAGGGGGGGATGAAAGGGTGTGAGTTTTAACATTATGGCTTAGAGGATATCAGGCAACATGTTTCTTTCTTGCGTGCTTTTTTGTTTTGTTTCTTTGTTTGTTTTTCTTGTTAGGTAGCGTTAGTATCAAGTACTTAGACAGCCCCGAAGTCTTTGGATATCGCTCGGACCAGCCCTGCAGCACCCGCCCACGATGATACGAGGCCATTCGCCTCTCGCCTCTGTAGCCCGTACGACTTCCGCGAGCTGCGTCTCCCACGGAACCCTGTCTAGTTGTTCCGTGCCTTGCGGTATTTCCCACTGCATGGTGGTTGTGTTGTACACTTCGCCGTTTGTTCCATCCGGGTACAGTACCAAGGCAGGCCACTTGTCGACAAGGCCCTCCCGCAGCAAGTGATGAATTGCAGCTTCATATCGACGCAGCAAGGGATCGAGTTTCCACACTTTTGTGCAGTTGATGCCCACGCCCCACGGGACTGCCGGTGCGAGGGACGGGTCCAGCATTGCCCGGATGACGGCCTCGGGAGAGTTTCCGTCTGGGGTGGTTTCGTCTTCATTGGGGAAGAGACACGAGATCCAGAAGGGGACTCCGGATGAGAGACCAGGGACGGCACTCATGGCGCGGCGCATTGCGATGACTTCGTCGAGGCGGGGGACTGTTTCGAGGGCGATGTGACGGACACGCTGCTTGACGTCCTTGATGCCGGCAAAGACTTGCATCCTCTCGCGATGCCAGGCGAAGAGAGCATCTTCTGAAGCGTGGGCGGCGTCGTATTTGCCGCTAAACTCCTGGCTGGGGACCATGCAAGCGCCGTACGGGCCAATGCTTAGTGCAACGCCGCAACTGGGCTGTTTCGCCTGTTGTGCGATTTGCACGGCGGTTTCGAGGAAGCGAGGCACATGTTCCGACGTGATGCCATTCGGATAGTCGGTAGTTTTGGTGTTTGCGAAACCTTGCAACGAGACTTGGTATGTTGCTGTGAGGATGACATCGACGGGGACGTCTCCGAACTCCTTTTGGCAGCGCAGCAGGGTTGACGGATCGGAGACTAGGAGATGGGAGGACCAGAGGGGGGTTTCTGGGCCAAAGGTGATGCTGTAGTTGTCCTCTAGGGATGTGCCGAGGCCGCCATCGAGGAAGCTTACAGGGACAGGGAGGGATGCACGAGAATCTGCATTCGTCATTGTGGGTATTGGAGATGGTTTACTGGGCTGTTACGATATCGGAGAGCTCAAGGTGAGGGCGAGTTCAATGCGGCATGATTCAGAGACCCCCGGCTTTAGAGTTGAGAGCTGAGTTAATGTTGATGGCGTTGGTGGAGCCCGACCTCCCGCCTCCATGGGTTCGCCCCTGTCTTGGGGTCGGCTGCTTGTTTTGCTTGGCTCTCTGGACTGGGAGATTGTCGCGAAGACGATATGACGAGGTTGCCGGTTTGTTTTATGCCGTGTGTCTCCTGAATGTGAAGATGTGCCTAACTTGTCGATGGCGGTGAATGCGTGGAGGGTACATGTATTCTCCTATCTGCTGGTTATTAGTGTAGTCCGTCTACTAATTGCAGAGTCTAGACTAACATATGCAACTACTACTACTAAACGAGGATCACAACGACAGGGCTCTGCATAATGTCAATCTCCAATGCCGGAATGCATCAAGACGATGAGATCATGATACCACCATCCGGCACTTGATATTGAGCCTTTATCTAAATCCTAGATCATACAGTACATACTACAGCCAACTTAGACATGCACTTCCTTATCAATTCTACCCCGCGTGAGGCAAAAAGCCCATCCAGTTGACCGTCTCAAACGCTCCCGCCTCCATGGATCTCAGCCCAACGATGGGCTCGACGAGGATGTAGAACCTTGCCAGCGCATAGACGAAGGCCACTGGGAAGATGGTCCAAAACTCCCACACGAGCGGCAGCTGTTTCGGCGCCCACGCCTCCTCCTCCTTTTCCTCGACGGGCTGCTGAGAGACCAGTATGGACGGCCTGTCGGCTCGCGGTCCAGCTTCCAGCTCAGCTACCTCTACGTCCTCCGCCACCGTTACTGGGACGCTGGACTTGGCTTCGCTTCCAAACATCCGTTTCCAGAGCTTGTGGCCGCTGCCGTAGCGCTGCCAGATTGCGCCTGTTTCTAGCACCCAGAAGAGGGCTGTTGTGCCGACTAGGATGAGGCTCGATACTCTCCAGAGGATTCGTTCGGCCTTTGAGGGGAACCTGAAATTCCAGCCAGTGAGATGGATTGATGCGTAGATCATGGTGGCGATGCACAGGTAGAGACTTTCCAGCGTTTCCAGCCACGGCAGTCTGCTGTCGCCAATCCGGGGCAGGGGACGTTCAAACGGTCCGACAGGCAGCTTGATGAAGGGCTGGATGTTGAGAGCCCAACTCGGCGTCAAGTCGTCTACAAAGTCGAGGGGAGTCTGTCGGTACGGTCGCGCAGCTACAGGGCCGGCTCCGCGGAGGACCTGGTCCATGGTCTCGGCCATGTCGATTCGCACGGGATATCGGACGTCTTGCGGCTTGGGGATCCAGCAGACGCTCGTCATGATGGAGCACACGACAATGGCCATAGTTGACAGCTCGATCGTCGTGACGGAGAGGCCCTGGACTCCGCGCACGATGCATTGTATGATGAGGTAGCCGACCTGGACGCAGGTGATGAGCTTGGAAACGGTATCCCGCTTGGACTTGTCGAGCAGCTCTTGGTCTGAGATTTCCGGATACTGGATGTGGCCGCGCGACATGAGCCAGAGGATGTGCTTCGAGTTGGCGCGGAACGGGGCGCCGTCCAGGGGCCGCAGCTCGAACCCGCCCATGTTGGCGAAGAAGCCGTGTCGGTACGTCCATGAAGTGTGTCCGAGGGCGTGGAACGCCTTGACGGAGTCTCGAGCGGCGGCGAGCTGGCCGGCGGCTGCGGTGAGCAGGAACTCGGGCCCGGCGATGGCAATGGCCATCCATAGGAGCTTGCGGCCCAGGATGCGCACGTTGCTGTCGTGTTTCGAGGGCAGGTTGAGGCAGAGGATGGTGTATGTGCAGAGGAATGTGGTGACGATGCATGTCCAGAGTATGTCCATGGTTCCGCGGCCGTCGGGGGACACTCTCCAGCCGTTGACTCGCGTTGGCGAGCTGTTGCTCATGGTCACAGAGGCAGTATCGGGGTTTGAATATCGATATCATGGGAGCGAAGGCTGTGAGGAGGCGCCCTCAAATGAGACTTACAAAGGAACTTGCACATCGTTTTATCTCAGGGCATCTTTTCAAGGGTATCAAGTCGTAATGAGAGAGAGCTCAGGCGGAACGGAGAGATTATTAGCATCATCCCGAGAGCCCCAGCACTCAGCATTCAAGATTTGTGCAAAACAGTATAGGATTGACATCCTCAAACCTGGACTTTTCCTTCCAAGTCAGAAGCATACGTGTAAGTCGGGCCATATACACGCAAGACAGCTTGGGTCTGCTCTTGGCGCCGAAGAGCCTCGTCTATTAATATCCTTTTCGAAGGTGGTCTCCCAGGGCGGTGTTATGCGAAGAATAGACAACGTTGAAAACATGGTCATGAGGTCCAATTGCTTGCACCGCGATGCCACCATGTGTGGGTTGCCCAACCAATGGTAAGCTCGTCGAACCAACCTAATATCTGACCACCTTTCGTCCTGTCATAGTCTCGGCATCACCCCTAGTCGTCTGCCATTCCCAAATGCTCAAGTAACATTGATATGGGACTTACTGGGCCAATAGCGTTATATCCTGTTATAGATAGGACAACTATTTGCGGCTCAGCATAGATTTAAGACGGAGCTCTAGACGGCCACTATGGTGTTTAGACAAGTTCTAAGTCGTTGGGTAACTCGCGCAGGAAACTGCGGCCACACGCCTATTTATAGCTGGCATGAGGCTATTCATTTTCATGCTACCCTAGCTACATCATATGCATGTTTTCGCCAATTTTTGCTGCTTTCGCGACTTTCCTTGTCGTTGGCAGATATTATTATACCCGCCAGCCCTGTCTAAAAGCGGTTCCTCTTTTTTTTCGGGGCTCTGCTTCTGCGCCTTATTTAAACATATCCGGCACCAACACCAAACTTGGGCGACGCTGCTGTCTTCCGTCGGGCCTCATTTGTCTCGAATATCTAGGGATATAAAGTCGAGTTATATATGGCGCTGTATAGACGCTTATCGCCCACCGGCAGAAGTGAGACTTTAGATGGCTCCAGCGACGAGAATGTTCGGGCATCAAAAACGACGCGGCGACTGCTGACCGCCGGCGAAGTGCCGTCTTGGTATGCTCACAACTCGTACATTCGCACCGGCTACCGACCCGTCACCTATTCCGCCAAGCGCTGCTTCGACAGCCTTGGGTATTTGCACAATGAGTCGCTCAATATTTACACTCACCTTGTGCCCGCCGGCATTGCCGTCGTAGGCAATTACGGGCTTCATGTGTACTTTGGCTCTCACTACCCAAATGCGTCCTGGAAAGACCAGCTGGTGTTTCACATATACTTGTCGACGTCGATTATCTGCTACGGAATCTCGTCCATGTATCACATGCTGCTTTGCCATTCTGAGACGTGGTCGGGGCTTTGGGCGAGGTTGGACTATGCCGCTATTGTTTTTCAGATTTTGGGGGCATTCATCTCGGGCATCTATATAGGCTTTTACTGTGAGCCTAATCTGCAAAGGCTATATTGGACGATGGTATGTTCCGTGTACATGTACAGATTGATGTGTTTGCCCGTTGACCACTGTGTCTTTTTAGATTGGAACATTGGGGCTCTTAACCGGCATTGTTGTTGTAAGTCCCAGGCTTCAGAATCCTCAATGGCGTATGCTCCGAGTCTTTGCCTTTGTCGGTACGGGCTTGTCTGCTTTTGCGCCTATTATACACGCCGCCACCATCTTTCCGTATGATCAGCTGGATAAGCAAGCTGGCCTTCGTTACTATTATCTCGAAGGCATCTCCATTCTGACGGGCGTTGTGTTTTACGTTGTAAGTTATTCTTCTACGAGCAACACTCCTGATTAACTGTTGCTAATGGATGCCAGACACATTTCCCAGAGTCGCGAATACCTGAGAAATTCGACATCTTTGGCGCGTCTCATCAGATTTTTCATTCTTTTGTGGTACTAGGGGGTGTAATCCATTTTTACGGCATTCTGAGCGCTTTCGATTGGAACTATAATAACCCTCGCTGCGGCTTGTAAGTCATGGAATGAGATAGAAATAGAGTATTTACACTTTGGCATCGGTTTCCCTTCCGAGAATGATCGTATCGATATACTTTCCCAATGATGCGGGGCCCCGGATGGTGCTGTTGAGTCAATTCAGGGGGGGTGTTTTAAACCATAACACTGGGGTATAAAAGTATCGTATCTTTAGATCACCCCGGACTACGCAGTACCTACGTGAAGCTTTGACGATTATTTGTTTTGAAGTTTACAATATGTACGATGGTTTTATATCATGCATTTGGCCAATATATATTCCCACACCATTTCTCAATGCCTGGGATAACCGTATACAGGTTTCGGTCGCTCTTGGCACATCGTTTTAAAACGGCACCATACATCACATTTTACTCCCTATCTGTCTTCTATTGTTATTATCAGTATTCAATGCTCAATTTGGCTTGTCCACTTAGCATTTGAATTCTCTGGTGTGAACTACAAAGTTTTTTGCCCAGAGTCACAGCTTCACGGAAAAAGTTATATCGGTCATCACCCCTGGAGACAGCCACTCTACATGTAATTTGGTTTTCCCTCGGCTGTTCTTTCTTCAACGTATTCTCCTGAGAGTGTTTTTGTATCTACGAGGCGTTTTCTAACGTCATTATCCGATTCATATGAAGTTTATATCGGTCTCGATTGTTTACTTTACGCAACCACCCCAACCGTCGACCAGTATCTATGTGCTATATCTATGAAGTTTATATGAGATGAAGCTTATATCGATCTCGATTGTTTACTTTACGCAGTCAGACTTTTCCAGTGGCTGATTCCATCTTTCGTAGGAGAAATCTCTGTAAACTTACACCAATCTATGCCTGTTGCCCAGTCAATCGAGCTTATTCTCGTCTTTCCAGATCTCATATAAAGGGGCCTTGCCCCCCCAAATCGTCTTTCCTAATTTTCCCCCATATCACTCACCCAAGCTCCAGTATCACAATCAATTTGATACCACCTTGTCCCAGAATCTTCATCTCAACTCTTTTCGACTCTCTTCAGTCGCCACAACCACATTCAGCTTAATTATTTCTGGCACTTCCTACCTTGCACTATCCAAGCTACGACAATTCTACTTTTGGTCAATATGGCTTCACAGGACTGGACCAACATGCCATTGGAGCAAGACTGGACGACCATGCCAGCAGAGGAAGACTCGGCAACCATGTCATGGGACATGCTGAACCCAGATGGCTCCCTTCCTGAGGTTGGGGTTCCTTACAACTTCAATGAGCAGCCGGCAACAACCAATGAGCAACCCCAGTGGGACTTGTTCCAATATGATTTCCTTGGGCCGATGGTATTTGATCAGCAGGATCAAGGGGCTGGCATCAACACGGCTCTCATGCCACCTCTCGACACCATCTTCACCTCTGCTCCCGACATCACCTTTGTCCCTGCTCCCGGCACCACGTTCATTCCTGCTCCCGACAATACCTTCATCCATGCTCCCGACAATACCTTCACCCATGCTCCCGACTCTACTGTCATTCCTACTCCCAGCGCTTCCAGCGCTTCCAACACTCCTCCTGACTCCTCCTCCTCCGCCACCACCCCCCCTATCTCCAACACGATCTCTGCCACCAACACCAGCACCAGCGCCAGCAACCCCGGAGCACACCACTGCCACGAATGCGGAAAGCGCTTCCCCAAAAGGTCCGCGCTCAACACGCACCTCAGGTCCTCGAGAGCCCACCCACACGAGGACGTCAAGTGTCGCTGCGGCAAGTTCTTTGACAAGTACGGGCTCAAGCAGCACCTCATACAGCGGGTGAACAAGTGCACGACGAGTCTGGCGGACTTCCGGTGTCACTGTGGCTTTGTGGTGGCTGCTGGTGAGGAGGAGGAGATGCTGGATCATGCTTATGCATGTACAAGGAGAAGGAATCGTCGGGCTGGTTAGCAGGGTTTGGCGTTTTGGCGTTTTGGGTTTTGGTGTTTTGATCTCTGGCTTTTGGTGTTGTCAACTTTTGGACTCTTCTTTTCATCCAATTGTCAGTCTTCTGTCCAACATTGTACTATTACTGCAGTCATAATTCATCGTCACGAATAAAGATGTCTTCATTTGTTCTTCCATACCTGCACCTCTGTGTCCCTATTCTTGTAGTATAATATAGTAGATAACTCAACGTCTATTTAAAATTTCAATTTTGCTATCTATCATCCCGTGTCGCAAAGGATACCAAGTACTACATGAATGGAGTTATAGTAGTCAACACTAGAAATATATAACTATAGTAGCATATACTGGATATATATAGATATAGTAGTAAATATCACAAGAAATATAGATATAGTAGTAAATATCACAAGAAATATAGCTATAGTAGCAGATACTTGAAGAACTAGGTGCTTATTATGTACTTCAGTAGATGCAGGTAGTAGTAAACAAACGGCTTTCCAGTTCTCATGACTAAATTTCATGCAGCTACTGAGATGCTGAATGGCTACTCTCTCAAATAAACGTGTCACCAGGTTAATAGTTAACACCCATTCTCTCTGCTTCATCCATATTAACCATGTTACTTGAGGTAGTGAGTCGATACTCCTCTTATAATAGGCAACCACGCACTAATGCTCGAATATTAAACCCTAGCAAATTATCTACACATGCAGCCTAGCTTCAACCCCAATCCTTCTCCTTACACATTCCTCATTCCTCATTCTTCATTCACTTCTCTTGCAACTTGTTCAAAGCTTCTACAAAATAAACCATCATGTCTGATAGACGCAATATTCAATTAAGCATGAGTCTCATGCCGATTTACTACGCTGTAACTACGAAAATCGCTTGCATCGCCGTCAAGTTAACCATCGGAGGCCTCAACAGAGGCCGCCCATCAGACGAACCTCATTACTTCCAAACCATTGTTGGAAATGTCGAAAATACATTTGGTCACATTGAGGCATATGACGACCTTGGGCCACTCACCATCTCTGTCGAGTATGAATTATTCGAGAACCCGTTTCTGGCGTGGAAAGCGGATCGACCTGTACAAGGGGATCTTAGGATCCAATATGATGCTGTACCGGTCGCACAAGATGTAGTTTCTTCTAGTCTTGAGAACCAGATGGACGCGAGAATTGAGAAAGGGTTTGTTGGCATAGCCTCGTCGTTTATACCCCTTCCAGCTGTTGAAGAAACTGCCGCGGTGGATGTGACGATTGAGTGGGATCTCCAGTCAACACAGAAAAAGAATGAAACCAGAACGCTGAGTAGTTTTGGGGAAGGAAACGTCTTAAAAAAAGCAACATCCATCAAAGAGTTGTCGGAATGTGTCTTCATGGTTGGCAAAGTCAGCAGCTATCTACCAAGCCCTTCTCTTGATGAAGATGGATCTAGAGGAGGGCTTCGTGGAATTCATTGGATGGGCACACTACCGAGCAACCTTGAAGCTATGAAAGAATTCACTATCAATATGGTTCCTCGTCTTTGCGCTTTCTTCAAAGATGAGAGCGCTACTCGCCAAATATTCTTGCGTAAAGTTCCTAGAGGCCTTCGAGCAACTCAAGTAGCGAGCGAGATCCTCATCGATTATGACGACGACAGTAAAGATGAGAATGACTGGGATTTAGTACGGCTCTTCAATTCCTCCCTGATAGCTACATGGGCCATTCTGGATCCTGAAGACGATGGCACGCCAAACGATTGGTTCACTCATGGTTAACTCTCCCTTATCTCCCTCCCATCAGCATCTACTAATGAAGCACAGGAATATCTCACATCTACACAATCTATCTCCCATTCCGCTTCGGCCAACGTTCCCCCGACTACTTCCGCGCCACTCTCAACAGCTACCTCTCATCATACTTTACGAATCCCTTTGTATCCTACCCAATGGACAAGATTCCGCTTGACTCATGGTACGGAAAGGCAGCCATTGCAATGCGCAGCTGCATCTACATGATCCGCATGGACTGCTTCACCCGTCGAGCATCAGTCGCTCGCAACGCAGGTATCCTTAGGCCAATCGACGAAATCGTAGCTGATATCAGCATCCGTCGACGTCGTGGCGAAAAAGTTCAGATCAAAGACTGGCTAAAGTATCTGGGGGATTGGATTGGCGAAGAGGCTGCAGAGCAGCACTTCCACCGAATGAGAAGTGGTGAAATCATGGGCTTGGAAGATATGAAGACGGCCTTTGATGGCATTTACCCGGATGAGCAACGAGTATTGGATATGGGGTTTGACGAATCAAGTCTCGCAGAGGAGATCGTGAGCGGAGTGGTTGAGCATTCCGAGGCGGCGAAAGGAGGACTGATGAATGGAGATGAGATTCTATGGCACTCGAGGGCAGAATATTGTGGAACACACTACGAAGACAAATTTCGCCTTGTCGTGGATCGACGGGGCCAAACAATCAATATTGAGTTTTGGCCAAGGAGCAACAGCGTTGTTAAAAGTTGGATATCCAAGAAGAAGCAGACGTAGTGTTGGAGCCGTTTCTACATACACACCTAGTATAGGGTCTCACATTATGCAAAAGTTTGTATTCAATGGATATCATTCTTTTTGTTAAGTTTACATGACAAACAGAATATTGGTATCTGTAGTATCGTGTTAGAACGCAGTCATGACAATCAAATTCGAATAAAGGACATACCTAGAGGGTGACTGCAAGACAGCTGTGGCTTCTGAGTATACTTAGTCTCGAGGACTTCTCGGATACTGTTGAGCAGCTCGACGTAGCTCTGCTTGGGATTCTTCTTGAGAGCGGAAATGAAAGCCCACGACATGGCACCAGTAGCTTGCGTTCCAATCGTGGCGTCGGCACTGTGGATTCCTGTTAGCATCCGAAACTCGCAACAAAACAAGCAAATCCACATACGAAGTTTGGTCATCTTTGCTGCCGGACCACATGATGACGTCTGCTGCTGATGTGCGTGTGGCCACAGTCTTCTTGTAAGCCCCGTCGCCGCTGAATGCCTGCTTAGCGAAGCCCATGATGCTGCTCGCAACGCCGGCCATGTCACCCGAGGCGTAGGAGGAGATGGCGCCCAAGAGACCCTGGCCAGCTTCCTTGGCCAAGTTGGGCTCCTTGAGGACACCCTTGGTGGAGTAGACATAGGGCAAATCCATGACGGTTGCCGAGTGACATGAGTCGAAAATGGCTGTTAGGCGCACTCCCTGCTGCAGGGGCTTGACAACATGGAAATGGATCTCATCATCGACAATGTGTCCAGCCTGCTCAAAGTCAACGGGGTATATAACTTCGTCGTAGCCGTCGTCTTCGTCGCCGTCCTTGTCCTCGGTTTGGCCGCCGTGTCCTGGAAACATTCACGGTCAGCATGCTGACAATCCCCCTTGAGACAACATCAACATCCTACTTACCAGAATAGTGAAGGAACAGGGCATCGTTGGGCTGGGCGCCATTGACAAGCCAGCCCATGGCACGGATGATGTTGGCCTTGGTTGGGCGCATGACAGGGTTGCTTTGGTCGTCTGTCAGAATGACCATGTCCTCGCGCTTATAGCCATATCGCTCCACCAAGAATGCCGAGACGTTGTGGACATCGTTGATGCATCCCTTGAGCTCGGCCTTTGTGCCGAAATAGTTGATTCCAATCAAGAGTGCCTTTCGCTTTCCCGTGCAGTTGGAGTACTGGAAGGTGTAGCCGCTCGGAGCACCGTGACCAAACTGCTGGGGGGCCGAGGGAGGCGGCGGGCCGGCCTTTGCGTGCATGGCAGTCGGAGGGTTGAGAGGATAGCCGTAGGCATCTAGACCTGGGGGAGGGTGGTTTGCAGGAGGTGCGTAGTGGCTCGGGGGAGGGCCACCGTATTGAGGCTGAGGCGGTCCGTATCCTCCATGCTGGGGCGGGGGTTGATGAGAGCCGTAGCCGCCATGAGAAGGAGGACCACCGTACTGAGGCTGGGGAGGGCCATAACCTCCGTGGGGAGGAGCTGGAGATCCGTAACCGCCCGGAGGAGCGCCGTATTGAGGTTGAGGCGGAGGAGGGGAGTTGTATCCTCCGGGTGGGCCGTGGCCGTAACCGCCGCCGCCGCCGCCGCCGCCGCCATAGCCTCCCCCGTATCCTTGAGGCGGGCCGTTGGGAGGAGGATAGTTGTTGTTATCGTATCCGTAGCCTCCTCCGTGCTGGCCAGCGCCGTGGTAGCCTTGGCCAGGGTATTGGGACATGGCTGTGGGTTCGATCGAGAGCGAATAGGTAGGTGGAAGAGCAGGAGGGGAGAGGAGCGGAAGAGAAAGAAGAAGAAAATAAAAGACGAGATGCGACAGCGCTGCCCGGAGCAGCTGGTGGCGATGTCTGTCTGTCTTGTCTGGCTGTTGAAGGGAACAAAGAGATGTCTGGTAGGTAGAACTAATAATCGACAGTCCAGTCCAGTCATCAATTGGTCGCCGCGAGTGTATGTAATCAATCACCCAGCCAAGACTCTTGAGCCCTGCGGTCAGCCTGTGGCCCGCCAACTGCGCACCGCCATTCGGAGTCCGGCTTGGCGGGCCACAGGGCGCTAGAGCTGCCTGTAGCTGCATCGTGGCGAGGCCGTTTGGCGCTGCGATTAGCGGCTGCCTCTCCACACTTGCAGCGAACTGTGGCAGTGCAACGGGCTCAATGTTGCTGGACGTCAAAACAGTTCGGATATAATGCAAGATGTCGACAGATGTGGTCTTGGCAGTCAATGTTGATGTCTCATTTGATGTTGATAAATGTCTTGTGCAGAGCAAGTATACATGTACATATATGGTTCGAGGGGGGCCTCCAATCACTGCATCCAGCCAGCCATGGACAGCATCATCTTTCATCAGCTTCACTGTAACCTCACTGTCACTGTGACAAACATCCATTAATGGACCCCCTACAAGAAATGCCCCTCGGCAGCCCCTCCATGCCCCGCCACACAGCAACCGCAAACTGCCCTCAACTCCGAGCCTCAACCTGCGAATTCTCCATCAAATTGATCCGTCTTGTCCCCTTGGCCACCTATAACTGCACTGAGCTGTCTGTATTTTACTGGGTACATTATGTAGCCAAGCATTGGACTGCTCCATGCTAGTCAACTGTTCCATATCTCAACCCGTTATTGCTTCATCGCCCCGGTCAACCAACGGCGTCATGAAAATGGCGCGTTCGGTACGGCCCGTGTGACTGATTGGACAAAGCAAGCCACATTCATCGTGCCGGTATTACTCGTCAAAGCTCCTTTGTTCCTTTGTCACGGGCCGCCAGTGTGATCCTCTTTCATGGTACAAGTCAAGTGCCTGTCCATGGAGGTCACGGATATGATTTAGGTGACTATGGCGGCCATGCACTGAATCACCCCCCTGAAATCACCCGCTTTGTCTGCGCCTCGTGCTGTCTGCAGGCCCCATCTGTCTACCTATAGTACTATCTTACCTACATGTACATGTGCATGATCGCGTCGACCCTGCAGCCAAGCCTTTTCTCTTTGATAACTCAACATCCATCCAATTTCCACCATCTTCTGCATCATCCTGCGAGGCCTCAAGCTTCTTTGTTGGCTCCCTCCAGCAACCAACACATATAAATGTCCAGCGACTTGTGACCTGACGTCCTTCTCACCAGCTCACCCTGATTCCATTCCATTCCCCCGACAAACACCGCCGCATCTGCGCCATTTGACTCCCATCATGTCATACGCTGACAACCTCTCGGGCCAGTTTGGCAACCTCGGAATAGGAGGCTCTCAGCCCTACCAGTCCCCTCCTCCCCCCGGTAAGTTCCATGACCCCCCAAACCCCCAAAAATCTTCACTCTCGTAGCAACTTTGTCTAACTGCAGCTCCAGGGTCAGGAGAGCACGGCGGGTATGGCTACCACTCGGCCAACCAGGATGGAGGCCCTCCTGCGCAATACCACGCCTCTCCCCCTATGCCAACCTATCAGCCTCCCTCTGACAAGCCGCCTATCCCCCAAGGATGGATTCCTCTCTTTGACCAGAGCCGCCAGCGATGGTACTATGCCAACACGGAGACCGGATTCACCCAGTGGGAGGCTCCAGGCTACATTGCCCCTCCGCGACCTCCCATGGAGAGCTACCCGAGCGAGGAATCACGAGGCAGCGGCCCTTCGCCGTATCCCCCAGCAGCGCCCTATGGGCCCACGCCTGGTGGCTACGGAGCTCCCCCTTCGGGACATTCTCCCTCGGCCTCTTACGGCGCACCACCCCTACCTCCCGCCGGCTACGGTGCTCCAGCAGGAGGGTATGGCCATAGTAGCCATGGGAGCTATGGTGGTGAGGGCCGCGGTGAGGGCTACGGCGAAGAGAAGAAGAAGAAGTCATCTGGAAAGGGTGGCTTGCTTCTTGGTGCCGCCGGTGGTGTTGCCGCCGGTCTTGTAGGCGGTGCCCTCTTGCATCACGCCCTGGAAGACGACAGCAGCGACGAAGAAGAGGAGAGGCGCCGCGAAGAAGAAGAGAGGCGCTACGAGTATGAACAGGCACCGTCACAGACCATCATTGTCAACGAGTACAACACGACCAACTACAACGACTCCAATGATCCCTACGAGGAGAGCGGTGTGCCAGGCATCCTTCCTTCAAGAGATGCAGAGGGCAACTACGTGTCTGAAAGCGATCGGGAATCTGTTCAAGAGGCACGTGAAGAGTACGAGGAGGCCCTTGCGGAAGTTGAGGGCTCTTCAAGTGCAAGCAGCAGCGACTATGAGGAGTTGGCGGAGGCTAGGGAAGAGTACGAAGAAGAGTACGAGGAAACTTATGATTAGAGACAGATGAAGTTGAACTTGAGGAAAAGGTTAGTCGCCATCTCGGTTAATGACTGTCTGAACGCTGTTGGCATTGTGAATCGCTGTCGTAATGTTAGATCCAAGGCCAGCTGTATGTCGTATGAGTACCCATGTCTAGCACGTGCTTACACAAGGGTTTTACTATGAATATATTCTATTCTACAAAATAGTGGCAATATGTAGTAAATTATGCCATCTTCATAAATCATGAGTCCAAGTTTTCCATGTGTCGCTGCAGTACCTCGATATATATAGCCAATAGTCTTCTAAAACAATTCATCTACCCAAACAATGAGGTGACAATCTCGTCCTTATGAATATACCCTTCTCAAATCGCTTTTCCCTCTGATAATCCCCTCCTTTCTTCTTTTTTCCCGCGCTTATTGTGTCTTTGCAAACCGACTCTTTGACCGAATCCAGGGACCAAATCTGTAAAAAGCGTACGGCACCGTCGTAAACACGAGCGCAATGAGACCCAGCATAGTCAAAGCCCAATGAATGCCTAGGTTCGTATACATGGGAATCGATATCTCAATCATCCCTCCCGAAGCGACATATCGCACCAGTGTAATCATCGTCAGTGCGCTAGCAGCGTAAACTTCGTACGTATCGATGAGATACATGTATGTGGACACAAAGACGGAGAAGATGCCGAAGCCGAAAAGCACCGAGGCCAGGATAGGAGACCAGATGCTGATATGAGGATATGCGGTCCAGCCCATCCAGAAGAAGGAGATGGGGATGGCTGGGGCGCCGATGAGGGCGTACCAGAGGAAGAATTCGGGCGGGATGCGGGCTTTCTCTTCGGGCTTTTCGGCTTGTAGCTTTGCGAATTCCTGCTTGGCCCATCCGTATAGCAATGGTGTAAGTGCTGCTGAAGATAAGACGAGGCCAACGCCGATGCCGATGAATAGGATACCGGTGATTCCGTCCGAGAGGTTATACGTCTTTTGAAAGACGAACGTGTAGCCGTCGAGGAACCCGAATAGCATCAGGTAGACAACAGTTAAATATCCTGTCCACAACATAATAGTTGGTTCTTGAATTGTCATGATGAATGGCCGCTTCACAGCCGTCAACATGCGCGCACTAAATGTCACATGCTGGATTTCTGCGGCGGACACATAGCGCTTATCTCCTGTCAATCGACGTAGATGGCTCGCTTTCCACTGTAGTAGGATTGGCTCATAGGTTTCGGGTTGGAAAAGGAGCAGCGAGATGAGAAGGGCTCCAGATACGATGATGGTGATCCATTCTGTCCACCGCCACGATACGTCGTGCGATTGGGAGATCCAGCCACCAATGATTGGTCCCATGATAGGTCCCATTAGTCCAGCAGCTGTGTCAATTGTTAGACTTGACTATCTCGATTTATATCAATAAGCATATTTACTTACTTGCAAATATCGGAAACGCAATCAAGCGGTTCATTGGATCCCACAAGTCGCTGATGGATCCGCCAACAGTCGACAATGGTGACTCTCCAAAGAAACCAGCAAAGAAACGACACACTAATTGTCCTCCCAAGTTCTTCGATAACCCGGCTCCCATGATGAATAGCATATATATCGCCAAGGAGCCGAAGTAGACGGGATTGCGGCCGACCGTTTCCGACATGGGACCAGCGATGAGAGCGCCAAAGCCAAAACCAGCAAGGAACTGAATAAAAGAACAGTGTCAGCAAAATCTGTAATTGAGTTCAGCCTCAATGTTATGACAACTTACCAAGCCTGTTGCAAGAGCCTCAGCAACTTCGCTGACACCGAATTCTTGTGCAGCCCGAGATATAACTGCCGAGTCGATAGATGCCGCCATACCCACCACGAGTGCAATGATGCCGACATTTAGAGTGCAAAACACCCTTTTGGTGAGAGACCAGTTTCTCGGATTCAGGGGATCATTAGGTCCTTCGAAACCGACGACGAAAACTTTGGTGTCACTTGAGTTTGGATGGTCTCTATGCGCGATCCCTGTAAGCGCTGCGGCAAGATTTGTGCCAATCTTGCTGAGAGGCCTATCAGTAGGCTCAAGTTGCGATGCATTCTCTTCGATATCGGTCGAGCTGGAAGATGTTGCCTCTAAATCGACATCCGCTGGTGGTTCGTTCGGTGTCGGTGTAGTCGTGTTATTTCTTTGTCGAGTTCGATGGAGCTGGGCTTCTAGGCGTTTGCCCAACGAGGTATACTGGCGATGTGCTTGCATTGTGAAGGTTTCGGCTTCAATCCCCAATGAACTAGGATATTGTTCACAAAGAGTTTGCTCTTTAAAGAGAAGCCAAAGATATTCAACACTCAATTGAAAAGTTTCTACAGAGACTAGAGAGCAACTGATTATATATATTCTATTGTCTTTATCTGACAAACATGCATCCGGAGGTGTCATTCTGGTCCATTGATATGGAATCAGAGTGAAAGTCTGGCTGCCCGTATATCATTAGTAAACGCAGCGAGAATAGCACGTCACAACCCTTGAAAAAGGGAAACTAGAGCCGCCATCCGAATACCGAGCAGGCGTTTATTCAAAAGCGGTAAATGTTGCCACCCGGCTTACACAATGACAGTGGCAAGCAAAACGCAACAGCCGAGAGAACTAAGCCCAGAAGGGTGGATGCTCAGCGAGATCCACAGCGTAAAGAGTTGCTGTTGTTGACGGCCTTGCTGGATCAAGCATACGGGGGTTCGGCAACTTTGAATTCTAGATCAGTGTAGAGGGAGGCCATACCGCAAGGAGCAAACAGTGGCCTTTGTTCGTGGAATATATAAGACGGGGGGATCTTTCTGATGGATTGGTCGCGGCAGTTGGATGGAAGCTGCTCGATTCTTTTTGCTGATTGAGAAGCGGTGCCGAAGATCTATTTCATAATGGTGTGTATCATTTCTAGATTACTATCGGGGTTTTACTATCTAGATGTGAAATGATCTGGGTACAGCATTTCATTTATCCAGGTGCTACGGTTACCTTGGATGCCAACGCATTTTTTGCTTCTCAATCAGTTTACAATTATTAGATGTTCATGCTAATTCACCATTGACCTATCTCATTTGACTTACACCAATATTCAAGTTGTTTCATATACGAGATCGTCAATTGAGGCCAATCGCTTAAAACCATCCCGATAACAAGAACTGGACCCTTGAGGCCGGACTCATCTCGGACGTAACTGAGGAGCACTGACGTCATGAGGACCCTGACTCAGAGCATGGCTTCGACGACAAACACCAATAGTTTTGCCCAATTGTAAAGGAAACGACCCTGGAGATGAAATCAATTGAAGCTTCTTATCAATTGAGCTTGCAGATTGGGTGAGAGCTTGCATCCGCAGCCACGTTTCAAGCGAGCACTCGGCAATCGGGATTTGCTTGTCAATTCGCATCGAGATTCAACGACAGAGGACGAAATCATTTACTTCGTTAGTAGGGGTAGTATTGAAATCAATTGATCTTATCTCTTAGTTCCACCACGAGGCCTTTACTCCACCGAAATATTGCTGTCAAGTGAAGATCCTGTTACCGAGGATAAAATTTGGAATCATCGGATGCTCTCAACATGTTGGGAAAGCTTAGGCACATCACCAATTCACATGCTTTCAACACATCACACCTGAAGTTCATTCTAACTTTATTGATCTCTTAGATGTTGGTATGATTCAGCATACAAATATGTATATACAACATGTCGATCGGGTTGTAAAGAGATACGATATTGTAAGAAAGATTTCAACGTCACTCATCTGCGTTACACAGCATTATCATACCGTAGGAGATTACGGTGGTAGTAATACGTTATTTACAACCTTCACTGTTCTTCGAGTAATGTTACATGTACTTAGTTCTGTCCAGCTCATGGAAGTAGAAAAGCCGACATCTATCTCCCACGGCTAGACGTCAAGGCACGGCTTGCCATTCTACCACATTTGGGAATATGTTTCTCATTTTGTGTTTCATTCTTATTTCTTGTTCTCATGCTCTACCATTTCATCTTCAAGCTGTCGGGCTTGTCGGTTCTAATAGGAAGGTTGTGGAGTGTCTTGAAAGACCCTATGTAGCCAATATCATGGTAGGCGGCGCCATATGGAGACTCGAGCAAAACATCTTGTATTTGCGCAACGACCTCCAGGACGGCCTGCGCTCCTACGTTAGTATGGAAAAATTCTTGATCCCTTTCATCGCGTGAGTCGCAAATCTGTGCTTCCCCCAGCATAATCAATGTCGCCCCCAACACCCGTAAAGCCTTCGGCGCAGAAATATTGATATCAGTTCTTCGCCAAGTGTCTCCACTACATCATGGACGGCCGCCCAATACTTCTCAAGAATTGACTGTTATTTTCTTTGAAGCTATCCTGCCTAAGGTTTACATTCACCCGTTGCGCCCTGGATACATAACTTGCTCCTTTGAAAAATCCCTGTGAGATACCTGGTATCGTTCTGCCTGTATTTGGCTCTCTGAGCCTTGAGGGACGCAAATTGTTAAAGGTAGATTCCCTCTCCTGAGAGCTCTGCCTCGCTTGGTAAACTTACATCTCCTAAGCCAAAAGATCTTTCAGCTGCAGATGGAGATGGAGAACTCGGGGGCGAGACTTGTGAATTGGAGATTTCGGCAAAACTGTCAACCTGCACCGAGTTGCTACCTTCCGAAACACCAGAGATGGGAGGCAATTGCTTGCTATAGATGTCGGGTCTGGGACGAACCAGAAATGGCTCATGGCCGAGATATTCCTCGTCAGATATTCCCCGCCTATCACCGGAGGATGATGACAGTTCAGGATCTATATTTAAGTCACATTTATATCAGGCCGTTAATACATAAGTGTTATTCTAGGTCTGTGTTTCTTACCATTCCAGCCTTCTTCACGATCCGTGATAAGATCACTTGCTGCCATGACTGGAGGCGGCAGAGGTGGTGGGACAGTGGAAGACGGGGCCGGTTCACCCATCTCCTCGCCAGCAACATTCGAATCGGGTGGCCAAATGTAAATGTCTGGATTAGGGAAGGGATAGGTGATCCTACCAATTGACGGTATTTTCCCCTTGTTGCTAGGGTCGACGTGCCCTTGTTCAAGCTGGTCATCTCCAGGCTTTGCCGCGCGCAGATACTCTTCGTACGGGGAGAGCCATCGCAAGAACGTATTCTTGAGCGACGTGGCCAGGGACGACATGATCCTGCCGCTGTAGCCAAGATCTCTTCCAATTTCTGCCCATTTCTTCAACTTGCAGACCCTGTCAAATCCGCCTCTGGATTCTACTGCCTTCTTTAGGCGATAAAGGTCGACAGGCTGTTTGTGGACATATGGCAAACGATCCGAGTCATTCCCTTGCTGCTTGTGAAACTTGGCAAGGCCCTCTAAATAAGTAAGATTGACTATCGTATCTCGAAGAAAAATAACATTAGTAAGAACTATTTTATCTTTCCTTCATCTCAAGCTGAGGCGTGTGAGTACCTGATCCAGCAACGTCGCCGTCGTCGGGGCGACTAGGAGGTGCCCGAGCTTGGCTAGGAGACTTGGGCAAGAATTGCTTGAAGCCCTCTATAAGATCCTATGCTAAGTTGAAGAGCATCGCCACTTGAGCATACAGATCTTGGATGGGCTTTTGCTCTTCCTGATAATTCCGAAGGATCTCAAGGAACTGTTTATATCTCTCCGGCTTATCCTGAAAGCGGTCCTACGCGTAGTTAGGTTGGTCAAAAGCTTACCAGCTAACGCTTTAGCTCTGGGCACTTACTTTAATCCTTCTGACATAACTGATGGCATCGTCAAACTCAACAGGGCCATGACGTTCCATGCTTGCTAGGTTTCTGATTCCAACTTTTTTTGTAAGAATATGAGGGGTAGCTCTTACTCTGTAAGGTAAAGACTCACTATTTTCCATAGACGATATCTGCATATTGACTCAGTTAGCAAATCGTACTGTACAAGGTGTCACCAAGCACCCTATCGGGACAAAAGCACATGCCTCAGTGTCAATTGCAATTTCAGGATTCTCCAAATCAGGTGGGAGCCCTTGTGAACTAATCTCTTCTTTCGCTCCGATATTGACATGACCACGACAATCAGGACAATACCATTTATCTTTCGATGAAGGAGCAACAGTAAGGCCTACGCATTCCAAATGGAACCATTTATATTTGCAACTCTGACACGTTATCAGTGGTTTCTCGATTGAAACATCTTTGAGGATAGTCCCCAAATCGTGAGGAAATGAATTTAGACTCACGTCAACATTATCGCATCGAATCATGATACCAGCACTCCCCTTATTACAGAGGCAGTACTGTGGTTCATCTAGGTCATTGGAGCCCTTTTTATCTTTCACTGTCGCCACTGCCTTTGCAACAGGCTCACTTGCAGCTTCGCCTGCCGCGTTATGGTCAGCAATGTTCATAATTGATGGCCGTGGAACCTCGATCCAGTGTCCGAACTTCCCCCGTAGCCCTTCTTCCTCGATAATACGTAATATTTCTTGTGGATTACCACCTGCACGCATGTAAATTCGCAGATAATCTTGGGTCATCGCTTGTTCTTTCGCCGTATCCTGGTCAACGGCGCCTTCGCTTGCTTGGGAATTCTGTTGATCGTTGTGCAATGATGGATTGGCATTGGAAGTGGACAATAGTAGGGAGTGGTTCGAAGAATCTCGATCTTGCATCTGAACTTCGTCTCCTTTAGCCGCATGTAAAATGGCCTCGACGGAAGCTTCAGGGGTATCATTTAGTGCACTTCGGAGTCTTTGTAGGAGGTCTGCATCAACGTCGGTAGACGTTCTTGGGAACTCGTCAATTAAGTTCGAGTTCAGGCCAAATGGTTCTTTGGGTACCAAATAGGATTTTCCTGTAGAACGAGGGTCGATGAAATTATTTCGAAGATGTTCGACAAATCGGGGGTGCAACTCCCCAGGGTTGCCAATGAAACGTGGCTTATAGAATTAGATCAGTATATAGATTCGAATTGTGCCATATCTTGTTACCCATCTTACCTCTTCATTCACGTAACTCTCAGCGGTTTTGTTGCGCTCAACATGCGCCAGTTCAGATTCGTCCATTATATCAATGGCTGTCTGAACATCAAGATCGGTGACATAGGACTTGCCATCCGAGAGCTTGATGCGGGCCTCGTGGTCTGTGGAGAGTATCATGTCATCCTTGGCGAGGCGTCGAGGGCCGTCAAAGACAGCCTGGACGCGCTGCTTCATCGTCATCTGTCCCTTATTAAAGCCCCAAGAGGGGGGGTAGTCAGCAGTCCGGCGTGATTCTGTTGGCTGAGCAAAATAATGAGCTAAGATAGACTTCTGGTCAGCGGTCATCATATTCTGCCTATGTCCTTGGGAAGAGTGTTGGTTACACGTTTCTTCTTGCTGCGTGATGGCAGCTTCGGAGCTGTTTTGATTTACAAGCGTAAACCGATTAAAAGTCCCTAGCATACTCTTGCTTTGCTGATTAAGTCCCATATCGAAACCAGACTGATTCCCAAGGTCCTTGGTAGAATCTCTGTACGTTCCCACTGGGATAATAGTTGGTTCGTCATCTGGCGCAAAAAGTCGCACTGTTGACGCATCCAGAACTTCGACCCGGTATCCAGTCGGCATTACACTGTTGATCTCGTGCATAAAGGAAGGATACCCCTCGCATAGGCGACCAATATTCATGATACCCCGGCGTATTTGGTCGCCATTGCTAGTAGCGAAAATGTTAGCAGCGAATGCCGAACTTAGTGACTGCATCAAAACATTGAACTCACACGACTGTATGTTGCCGAGACACCGCAGCAAACTGAGCAGCGCAAGAAAGTCTCTTGAGGCGGCATCTCGTACAAGGATCAGGAGCTTTGGCATCACATTCGGCCTATATGCCATGAGAAAATGACTTGTAACATAGCCGTCATATACCAACCTCTACCATCCTGCATTCATAGCATGATCGTCGCCATGCTTCAGGGACCCATTCCGTTGTCGCTATATCGGCCAAAATGACACGGAATCTCGTGAATTTGTCCGGTTGGTCCTTGAAATACGCTTTGGCCGTGTTGAAGAAATTTTGGCCGCTCATCCGAATTACCTGAGCAGCTTGGACATTCTCCGAGTGTTGAGCTCCCTGTTGCTGTGTATTCTAAAAGATGTTTAGCAGTTGATAAACAAAATAAGGCTCTACACCACCACAAGAGCTTTAGAGCCTTACCTTCGAAGGGATGTTAGTCCGGAATGAGTCTTCCTTGTCAGTGTTTTCTTCTTCGTCATGAGGCTCTTCAGATTCTTTCAGGCCAAGGCCTTCCAGTGGTGCCCTTTCGAGCGGCCACATGGTCATCGTGATATGCAAACCTGGCTCAACCACCTCCTCCCAGACAGAGGGGGGTATAATTTCGCCATCAGGACCGATTAAGTCATAGTGACCCTCTTGGACGTGAGGACCCAAGACGTCAACCTGTGAGAACGCCTGCTGAATCAAATCATCCATTTCCTGTTAAAACGATGTCAGTGAGTTATACTTGAGAAAAAAATACAGTGCAGAGGTGGAAACAGGAGAACCTACCTGCCAGGTGTAGCATAAGTGAACTGGGAAGTTAAAACTTCGACCAACGGCATCCGTAAACTTGATAAAAGATGATAGCTTTGCCATTTTAGAAGCCCCTTCTGTTTTCCTGAAAATTTCTTCAATATTCTCTTGGTTCCTCTTCAATTGTTCAACCATGTTCGCTGCGTCTATAGCAGCGAGATGTTCAGCAGCTCTTTGCAATGGCCCTCTTTTCCCTTCAGATTGGGCTTCGTAATTCTTCTCAGGCTTGAATTTTTTCACTAGATTAGAAAAGACCATGGAGGCCAACTCTGTATCAAATTCAACAGGAAGTGTCTCCCCGTTCTCATCAACGCCACCATAGGCTCCCTCATTGCGAGAGGAACTGGCATCGCTGGACTCAAGGCTATTCTCGGACTCTGCGTCCGAGTCGACTTCAACGGGTAGAGCTGACAGCGAAACCTCTTCTAGATGTTTAGAGAGATGCTTGGTAATAGCAATCTTTCCATTGCCTGTTTCTTCTCTACAAAGGGGACACTCGGCAGATGCCCATTTGGGCTCCATCTCGTGGTCCAGCGCTAGGTGAGAAATCCACTTGTCGCGACTTTCAAAGGTACTGCTGCTGTATGGGCATGATAAATCTAAGCACATGTACGGTTGAAGGTCAAGGTATATATGCTGTCTAATTGCCGGTTAGCTTTGTCATACAATCACGCTTTTCAGGCTTCGGCTTCTTACTTCCATGCGGAGTTGTTGGTGATAATTACCGTACGACCACAGGCAATGCAGGTAAAGGGCGAGCCTGCCTTGGCTTCTTTCGAGAGTGGTGGTATGCGTACGGACTGGCCATCATGATTGTAACTCATTGTGGTTTCTGCGTAGGACATAGTCAATCCTATGGATGTGCCGACACCTGAATCATGGAATTTAGTGTTGGCGATTATTGTCCCCGCATGGGTTCCCTCTTCTTGATTCACGATAGGCAGCGGCTCTTCCTCTTCCAGAGACTCTCTTGCTTCTTGGCACCGCAAGAAACGTTCATAATTAGCCCTACCGAGATATAGAGTAAGGGAAACATCTGCGCGAGGGAATCTGTTCTCAATCTTATCAGAATAGCTCTTCTCAGGACCCCAGGTAGAGATAGCATGGCTTTCGATGTTATGTTCATGCTGAGAATCGAATATCGGGTACTTCAACAAAGGGTCCAGGCCGGACAGAACGAGAGTATCGGTTTTGAGGTCTTCCGCAATCTCATAAATATCATCGTCTGAGAAATTAGAGGCTGCACCACTGGAAGAATCATCACTTTGTCGGCAGGATTCTTCAGCTATGAGGCCCGCTGCAGCTTCAATATTTGACTCAACGCTGGAACACAGAATTTTTAGTTTCTCTGACGAGATATTCACTGCAGGTACTAAGCCTATAGGCAACGGCAAACATTGTGTCAGTTCAGCTAACCACACGCCTTGAACGAAGCACAGCCATTGACAGATACGCACGTTCGACAAGCACACGGCCAATGTGCAATAAATTCTTGAGAGCTGTATAACGAAGTTTGCGCGACTTGTTGAACGTGCCATTTAGACGGCCCTGTGTGATTCCAAAACCGTCTGACCACAGAATCAGAGCGCTGCAGCTGCGTTCAATGCTTATCTGAGCGTCTCTGGGGATCCCGGTCTGCTTCGGTAATGCGAGGGCGATTTCTTTAAAGAGAGCCAATAAGCTTGAGGAGAGTTCGGCAATCTCATTATGTTCTGCAGTCTCCTCGATGTAATCACCGGGGTGAATATCCTGTTGCTGTTGGTGCCATTCATGGGTATATTGAAGGAGTTCTGCCATTATGGCCCTCTTCCACCCAAGAAATTCCGGCGCGACACTGAGATTCGACTGCGGAGCAAAGTTTTACGTCGACTTGATGGAGAACTTGGAACTCACTTGCTCCCGGCAGATATGTGATCGCGACGTCAATGTTGATGTTGCATAGACAGAAAGTACCCGAAGTTGGCAAGACTCAGACGGACCACATGATACGCATTCATGTGGACATAGCCACGATTAAAGATGCGGAGGTGTGCCAGTCGCCTAAATCAACCAATTAATTGTGTTGCTAGTGAGGCGGACAAGGATTGGTTGCAGGCTGGGCGGATTCGGAGGATTCCAAGTCTCAATGCTAGCTGAATATGCACATGTACATGTACACACATACGTTTGAGGAGGCTCAGCCCCAATTGCCCCCGGAATCTGTTTGAAGTTGTGCGAACGTTTATCACTTCAACTCTCTGATGAAGGCGGCCAAACAGCTCACCAGATTCTTGTAATCAGATTCTGCACCCGTGGGCACGATACAGCGAAGCCATCGTCAACTGGTCAGGAATGGATCCATTATCTGTGTCGTATGCAATCCTGCCCATGGTCGGGAATTCCGTCAATGTCTACAAATCTGTTCGCGCCAAGTTCAAAATCTTTTGTCACTATTCCGCCGAAGTCGAGAGAATACGGAAGTTATTTGGAGCACAGCGAGACTATTTCCTCAATGAAATAGAGCTGGTGCTGCGGCTGGTCTTACAGGACCAAGACATTGTCAAATCCATGATGAAGGATCCGGCGCACACTGAATGGCATGCTCATAGCCTGGAGAAGAAGCTAGAAGCCCTTCTGGAGAGAAACCTGACGTCGCTGATAGACATTGTCAACGATATCAACGACAGTATATCGACGCTTCAGAAAGCATTCAAATGCTTTACACCATTAGAAGAAGAGCAAAAACGGGTAAGATGGAACATACAGGCAATTGCTGCAAATTCAACCATTAACTCAAGGTACTCTCAAGGATGAGCAACTAAAGCGAAAGCCACTGAAAGACTGCGTTCGAAAATTGAGAAAACGAGTCACTATCACCTTCGAAAAGAAAAATTTTGAAGATCAAATTGACCTGCTGGAAAAATCGAATAGCGCATTAAGACGGCTGCGTGAACAAGTCAGTGAACTCCAAAAGCCCCCGACATATACAACCGGGAACGCATGTAAGAGAGCAGGACGGCTGCCGCTGGAATTCAAGGGATATAGAGATATACGAAGGGCTTCCAAGGCGCTACATGAAGCGTTGACGGCGGCTTGGTCTAGCACACAAGCACCTCACCTGAGACATTTCGTCAAGCTCTTCCTGGACGCCAAAGCAGAGACTGATGTACAGATGGAGATTGCCATCCTCTGCTATGGGGCCCAACTCCATCAGAAGGCTCTTTTCCAAACAAGCTTGACCAGACTAGAGGTCAGATCGAGGACAATGGACTCCATCATGTGGTCCAGCACGAGTTTGTTGAGTCCAGCTCCAGAGGCGGACAACTCACAGAACGACCGGCGAAAACGACCAAGGGTCCGATTCTCCGACATTGGGGATAAGCCTGGTCTCAGTATTATCGATGCCGAATCAGTATCCCAATATTCGATAACCAATACTTCGCAATCCACCCTACTTTCTCCAGATGATCTTCAGCTCACGGGGCATTTCTGTCCTGAACTATTAAGACGATGCTCGACCCCGGATATGGTATGCAAAGCGGAGGGTCTGGGGCATATCGACAGCTGCATGCAGGAAGGATTTCGTCACTGCTTCTTCCCCTGTTCGAATAACCACAGTTGTGGCAAAATGCGGTTGGACGACGTGATACTCATGGATGAAGCACTTGGCCAAACTGCCAGCAATAGACTAACCATTGTTGGTCAGCTGCGGTTAGCTCATCGACTCGTTTCCGCGGTGCTCAAGTTCAATTCGACTCCATGGCTGAACGAAGTGTGGAGTTTTAGAGACCTTGCCTTCTTCCGACAAGGGGATGACTTGACTTTGTCGCTCCAAACGCTACACTTTGGCGTAGAGTTGATCCATGGCGGACCCGAGCCAGGAGAATCCTTAATGGACATCGAGTCTCCAGTGAGTTTGAGTCAATCGATTGAGGATGTGCAATACAAGCATGGAGTGCGCAACGTAACGCTGTATAGTCTGGGGGCAGCTCTGCTGGCAATTGGGAGATGGGAGCGCATCGACCACAACGACATCGAGGGAGTCCGTCGACTAGCATCGCAATCATGCTATTTGGGGCCTGTATATCAGGAATTGACTCAAAAGGTTCTCGATTGCGATTTTGGGTATGGAAAGGATTTGAAGAAGCCGAGACTTCAGGAGGCTATTTATGAAATGGTTGTATTAGAGCTGGAGTCGATGATTGCAAGCCTCGATATATCAGGGGAAGAAGATGAGTAGTATCAGCACACGAACATACATATATCCTCATCATATTGTAGACATGGTTATTGACAAAGTTGATGAAGCTGAGAAGGTCGAACTTGTGTTTCGTGTGCTATGAAAGAAGGAAAAGCTAGCTGCAAACAAGAGCAAATAGAGATGTGGGCTTGACCAAGGAGTGGTCTCACAGATTCACGTGACAACTCAACAATTATATTACCAAATAGGGCAGATCAAAGGGTGTTTATCCCTATATATCAGATCATGTCTATGGGCAGATACACTATCCGTGAAGTATTTACAAATCGGTACGCCAAGTAGGGTCGAATGCTGAAAGACCATGATATCACGATTGCATGGATGTGAATACCTGAGTGCTTGCAACCCTAAGACGCTGCCTTCTAGAACAGTCCGTAACTTTAAAGAAGACTACATCAAACACATTTTTTCTAACTCTCAGAAGCATCAGATATGAAGCCACACGTAATCATCCTCCAGGGCTGAAAGCTTCACTGACCAACAGACGGTCCAAGTGACCAAGGCATACCCGTCCTTTTCCATCGCTGCCAATCAAGACCCCGGATCCTCATCACCCCGGTCTCGCGATGGTGCCGTATTGCGCGTATTTGCTTTTAGAGCGCGCTTGGCTTTCATGCGTCAAAATGCTAGTGCGAATACCAGCGGCCCACGTCTCGAAGGATCGGCGCTACGAGCAAGTTAGGAATTAGGCTTCGACGCCGCATTGTTCGCTTGGGTATCGTATTGCTCGTAACACCCGGGAATTACATTGAAACTGCGTGGAGGTACAGCAGCAGCTGGCAAAGGATCGGAGTGGCGCCATGCTAGACCTGGGGTTGATGGTGGTTTGATGTTGAAGCCGTACAGGAAATGTGATAAACGACTTGGAGATTGCTTCAAAGAGGCTGTGCAACAACTGGATGTCAAGATACCAAGTTGGATGTCTCGTTTAACCTGAGATTAGAAGAGTCACAGCGCCGCGACTGCTACGTCTAGGACTTAAATCTTTGTACGCAATATCCATCAATCTGATTCAACGGGCTGCCTTGCATTTTGTCGAGGTTCGCATGTTCCTTGGTCCCGTTTGGGAAGTACGTGGCGCTGATTCTCCCCAGCCCCACAGCGCACCACTTGGCGGCCACCTTGTCCATTCTGGGCCAAATATGGCGCTGCTAGCTGCCTGTGGTTTAGCTGGAGCTTCACTAAAGGCCGTGCTGACAGGGGATCCTACGGGGCTTTCAGGGCAGCTGGCGCCCTATCCCCTCCATCGGATCGAGACCAGCCACTGACACCAGCATCGACATCATGGCGCAGCTAGGCACGAGCATCATTGAACTCTCGTCCCTTTGCCTCTTTCAATGCCTCACAAGTAAAACAACCGAGCCAAACGAGATGCAGCCACACGTGTGATCCCTGTCGCCAATACGCGCATCAATCCTCCAGCATCATGGCGGCTGTTGCGACTCTCTCTTGGCTAGTGCCTCGATGGCCAGGACAACGGACGAACGCATTGGATTTTCGTGTCCAAGGTATTTAAACCCAATGATCCTCCCGTCTTTGTTGGCCCCGTCTCTCATTTGGGATCGAATCATTCATATAGCTGATTCAAATCAAGCGTCTAGTCTCACCGTCACCTCTCACATAAGGGTGACGACGGCATTCACTCCTTAACAACATCTTCGTCATCCTCAGACGCTCTCTCTGTGCATGGGAGACACCAAACCAAAATCAAAGACGCCACAAGGGCAAACCCCGTCTCTGCCCACCATGACTCTCTACAGCCAGATCTGGGCCTTGACAGAGAAGACGCTCAGGATCATCATCCTTCGACATACCGTCTCGACGATTTACAGCGCTCTCGTTCTTCCCATTGTCCTCACTGTTTATCTAGGCATTGGCCAAAAGTTTACTCAGCCCAACGACAAGTTTGGCATTGGCTCTCCATCCGACATCTTTTCTCTCGATAATGCTCTCTCCAAGTCTGACGGTGGTCGAGACACGGTCGTTTTTGTCAATAGTGGCCACACCGGTGGTGACATAGGACATGTCATCGACAATGTGTCTGATATTGTTACGGGAGCTGGCAAGAATGCGACGATGATACAAGACGAAACCGACTTGGGATATACTTGCCGGAGCACTATCCGCGGCACGTCCAACTGCTTCGGCGCCGTAGTGTTTTACTCTTCCCCTGATGAAGGCAGCGATGGCTTCTGGAACTACACTCTACGTGCAGATGCTGGCCTTGGAAATAGCTTCCAGACTGACAAGGGCGACAACGATGCCCAGATTTACGCACTGCCTCTCCAACATGCTGTTGATGCTGCCATTGCCGGCCTCAAGTCTGACTCTTCTTTTCCTTCAACAACGCAGCAATACGCTTATACCGAGTTGACTGAAGATGAGCGCCAGGCTGATGTCCGGCGTAAATACCAAAAGTCATTTATCAACTACCTGAGCGTTGCTTACATTACCGGTATGATTGGTGTCTGCTATCATATGCCCGGCTACATCGCTATCGAGAGAGAGAGAGGCCTATCTCAGCTTATTGACGCCATGATGCCCACTAGCCAAGGGTGGCACCGTCAATTCGCTAGGCTCATCTCCCATCATCACGCCTTTACCGTGACATACATGCCAGGCTGGATTGTTGCATCTATCGTTGCCAGAGTCACCATCTGGACAAACACCAGCTTTGGCATCCTGATCATCTTTTTCATTCTCAGCGGCATTGCTATGACATCCATGTCCCTCCTTGGAGCGTCATTCTTTAAAAAGGCTCAACTATCGAGCATAGTGACCTCTGTCATCTGGATTGTGTTGGGCATAATAGCTCAAGTGATTCCGCATCCCAATACCGCTACAGTCGCCATCCTCAGTTTACTCTTTACTCCGTGCAACTTTATATTTTTCATCATCTACATTGCTCGATTTGAACAGTATGGACAAGCAACGAATCTGATACACCTACCGCCAGGCCACACTTCAAATCTTCCTGGCATCGTTCATTGGGCCTTTCTCATTATCCAGATGGCCGTGTATCCATTTGCCGCAGCCTTTGTAGAGCAGGCCATACATGGTGTGAGCACGGGAACTCGGTCGTCAAACGCCCTCGAAAACCCTGCCGGCGGTGTTCAAGATGCGGTTCGTATCGACAATATGACCAAAATTTTCAAACCCAGCCTGATTCGTAAATTCTTCTCCTTTGTCTCGCCGCCAAGGCCCGAGGTGGTTGCTGTGGATAACCTGACTTTGACGGCGAAAAAGGGCGAGATCTTGGCATTACTTGGTGCAAATGGCAGTGGTAAAAGCACCACTCTCGACGCCATTGCTGGTATTAGCAACTTCACCAGCGGCAACATATCTGTCGATATATCTGGCGGTCTTGGATTCGCTCCCCAGCAGAACGTTCTCTGGGATGAGCTAACCGTTGAGGAACACATCCGGCTTTTTAGCCGTATAAAAAATCCTCAACGCAAGACACTGGATACTGAAATTGCAGATTTGATTGATGCTATTGGACTTCGCTCAAAGGCCAAAGCTTGGGCAAAAACTCTATCGGGTGGTCAGAAGAGAAAGCTTCAGCTTGGATTGATGTTGGTTGGTGGGAGCTCCGTCTGCTGTGTTGACGAAGTCTCTTCTGGAATTGATCCCCTGTCGCGGAGGAAAATTTGGGATATTCTTCTGAAAGAACGCGGTTCACGGACAATCATCATGACGACCCATTTCCTCGATGAAGCAGACTTGCTTGCCGACAACATTGCCATTCTATCCAAGGGAACGTTGAGAGCTGAAGGCTCCTCTGCGCAACTCAAGGACACTTTTGGTGCTGGCTATCGTATTCATGTACTCAATCCAAGGAGCTTAAACGCAGTGCCCGATATCGAAGGTGTCTCAAAAAAGGTCACTACAAACAGCGTTACTTACATGTCGTCATCGTCCGATCAGGCCGCCAAGGTTATCCGAGCTCTAGAAGCTGCTGGTATTCCATACAGATCCTCTGGCCCGACCATTGAAGACGTTTTCCTCCACTTGGCTGAGGAAGTTCATGGCGAAGGGCTCCAGCGGCAACCGCATGTCATTAACGAAAAGGTTGCCAAAGTTGCGAGCGATACACCCATCGCTGGCGAAAATCTGGCATTGCTCACAGGGCGACAGATTGGCATGCTTCAGCAGACGGGCGTACTTCTAAGGAAGAGAGTCACAGTTTTCAAGACAAATTGGCTCCCTTATGCGGCCGCCTTTCTGATCCCCATCATCGCCGCTTCAGTCATCCAGATGCTTGTTCGCAATGATGACCCAGTTGGGTGCTCACCCACGCAGCGAAGTAGCCACTCTTCAAACAATGATTTCTTCAAGCTCTTGGATACAGCTCATCTTGCAGGTGGCCCGTCATCTCATTTTGGCAATTCTATAGACGATTTATTTAAACCAATTCTGCCAGGTCCTGCAAGCCTTCGAAGCCGGGACAGTTCTACCACTGTTGGAAATGTCACCGTCGATCTGGTAGATTCCCTCTCATCCCTTGAAGACTATATCGAAAACAACAGGAGGATTGTCACTCCCGCCGGCCTGTGGCTCGGCAACTCGAACTCAGCACCGACATTGGCCTTCAAGGCCGACAACTTCTCCATGTACTCCGCAGTCATAGGCCAGAGTTTCCTCAATACGATACTTGCCAACACTACCATTGCAACAGAATACAAGGCGTTTGACTATCCCGTCGCTCCTTCAACTGGCAGAGGACTCCAGCTTGTGGTGTATTTCGCTGTTGCCTTCTCGATTTTCCCCGGTCTCTTTGGTCTCTATCCCAATTCAGAGAGGCTTAAGAATGTTCGCAACCTGCAATACTCGAGTGGTGTTCGTACTCTACCGGTTTGGGCTGCACATGTCATCTTCGACTTTGGCATCATTGTTGTACCCATGATCTTGACTGCCATGATATTTGTCGTATCTTCGAATTCATGGTACAATGGAGGCTATCTGTTTCCTATTTTCATCTTCTATGGGCTGACAACGATCATCGTTTCCTATCTCTTTTCGCTCATTTGCGACACTGCAATGGCAACTTACGCCATGACCTCTGTTGTTCAATCACTCGGCTTTGCCGTCTACATAATTACATACCTGTTTATCCTCACCTATTCCCCAGCCGCAAACACCGATAGAGACGTTCTCATCGCACACTGGGTCATTGCTGCTATCTTCCCCACGGGCTCGCTGATTCGCACGTTGATGGTTGGCCAAAATATCTTTTCGACTACTTGCGACGACGACCAGCTTCGGGCCAATCCCGCAGCAATGACTGCCTACGGTGGTCCCCTACTATATCTTATCCTGCAAGCCATCTTCTGGTTCTCCATAGTAGTCTGGATTGAGAGCGGTGCCGGCCGATATGCCCCTGAAAAGGCCAAGAAGTCTCCCGAAGTTGACGATCCCGAAGTTGCAGACGAGCTACTCCGTGTCGATGGCCCAGCCGGCCAATCTGACGGTCTTCGCATCGCACATCTAACGAAAGCCTTTGGTAAGAATACTGCCGTCGATAACGTCACCTTTGGAGTCGAACACGGCGAAGTGTTTGCTCTCCTCGGTCCCAACGGCGCAGGCAAATCCACCATAATTTCTCTAATACGAGGCGACATTGCACCGAGCCGTAACGGTGGAGGTGTCTTCATCGAAAACGTTTCCATCACCAAACGCCGTGCCGCTGCCAGAGCAAATCTCGGCGTGTGCCCCCAGTTCGACGCCATCGACAACATGACGGTCAGCGAACATCTCCGCCACTACTCCCGCCTTCGAGGCATCTCTGATATCGACCACCAAGTCCCCGCCGTCATCCGTGCCGTCGGACTAGAAGCGTATGCGGACGTCATGGCACATACTCTCTCAGGAGGCAACAAGCGCAAACTCTCCCTCGGCATCGCCCTCACCGGAAATCCACCTGTTATCCTCCTCGACGAACCATCCTCCGGTCTCGACGCAGCAGCCAAGCGCATCATGTGGCGCACTCTCGAGGCCATCGTCCCAGGCCGCTCCATCCTTCTCACCACGCATAGCATGGAAGAGGCCGATGCGCTGGCCAACCGCGCCGGCATCATGGCTCGTCGCATGCTCGCCCTCGGGACGACGGACAAGCTCCGCCACCGCTTTGGAGATACACTGCATGTCCATCTCGTCAGTAAGACTGCGCCTCACTCTTCTGCGGAGGAGATGGATAACCTTCGCGCGTGGGTGCTGAATAATTTTCCCGGAGCGTCGGTAGAGCAGGAGACGTACCATGGACAGATGCGCTTCTCGATGCCTTCGTCCGCGGTTCCGATGCAGAGCGGAGTGGCGAGTAGTAGTGAGAGTGCTAGGGGACGACTGCTTATCATGCTTGAAGAGCAGAAGCAGTATCTGGGCATCGCACACCATAGCGTTAGTCCTACGACGCTGAACGAAGTGTTCCTGAATATCGTTGGGAAGCACGATGTTCAAGAAGAAGGGTATAACAACAGAACAGACGAAGGAGTCAAAAAGCCCTGGTGGAAGTCAAAGTACATTTGGGGCTTCGAGCGTTCTTGATATTTCCTTTATATTGTTTCGATTTGATTCCCCCTCGAAGTTGTGCAATTGAGCGGTACATTTTGTTATATAGAATTTGAAATAGACATGGATATCATTTGTTAGATTACATACATTAGCTAGCTCATATATTATCTACGTATACTCATCCCGTCCCGATCCTCCTTTTTAATGGGTGCCCATCTCGTAGACTGGTGCTCCGCCGTGCAACTCTTGCGGTAAATGCGTATCACCAGCCACTTCTGGCGGCTGTACATGCGCTTCATGATATGTCTGGCCCATTGGATGCGGAGGATACGCATATGCTGCAGGGGGCTGTGGATATGATCCATTGGGAAGCTCAGTCGCGTTCGGGTATGGGTTTGGATATATCGGCGAAGTTGTAGCAACAGAACCCGGGGCCGGTGATACGCTCGAGACGGTCTGGGGTGTGACCGATGGCTTGAATGGTTCGACAGGAGAAACTTGTGCCGTCTGGACGGGAGCGACAACGACGGGTGCTGCAGCGGCGGCTGCTGGATCGACTCCGGCTGTGGGTGTGCTTCCTCCTTTCATCTTGGTCAGGCAGAGCTTCCAGATAGCTGCGGCTGCGGCAGCAACACCGACAACAACACCGACGACGATGCCGGCAATGGCGCCCTTGGAGAGTTTCTTGCTAGGCCGGTGGAGTGTTGAACCTCCTGAACCGCTTGAACCAGACGACCCGGATGATCCTGATGATCCACCACCCGATCCTCCGCTAGACCCTCCGCCTGAGCCCCCGCTTGTGCCGTTGCTAGGGCTTGGCGATCCGTTCGACGGCGATGAGCCGGGAGAGTTGTTGTTCCCGGTAGGAGTAGCACCAGGGTTGTTACTACTGGGTACAAGTCCAGCGAGCACACTTATACAAATCTCTTCTCCCGCCACCTGGGCCTCTGTTGAACATCGTCAGACTCAACCTTTACATCTCCAACAGTAGTTGATCTATATCACTTACGGACAGCAGTAATATATCCGCAAGCACTGTTGACACAAACCGCTGCGCCACTGTTGACGGCGCTCGCATTGTTACATTCGCAACGAGTGTCACCCAACTTGCAATTTGTATATTCAAGGACTGCTGAAGAAACGCAGGCAGTGGCACACGCGGGGATAGTTGGAAGCGCGCGTGCCAACCTCAAGTCGCCCACAACTTCCAGAAAAGGGCCAGGAGTGATGAGGGCCGCGGCTGCTCCATTGGAAAGATGCGCGATGGGCGTGGGAAGAATATCGGCTTGACGAGCTCTGATGTGTAGAGCCGAGGAACTCGACGCGAAAAGGAGACAAGAGACTAGCAGCGCGAGTGAGGTTGGTAGATTCTGCATCTTGACCATGGTGGGCAAATCAGGCTTGTAGGTGCCACCCTTTGGGCAGATTTTGGTTCTCACGGGAGCAGCACAATGAGAAAAGACAAAATCGCCAGCAAGGGCGGACTGATATTTCTGATCCGGCATCCCAGCAGTATTATAAAGCTAGTAGCATTCCCGTTAGCAAGCCGGCGTGGGGATTGATGGCCCGATAGCATCTAGCATCGTGACCTTTGGAGCGGGCCATGAATTTCTTGCAGGGGTCGTGCACATGTCGTCGCCTCATTCGTTTGCAAACACGGGGCGAGGCATTCTCGACACTCTGCCAGTGCACATTGGGAAGACCCTTTGGGCGCTAGGCCACTTGACAGAGGGCCGCATATTCCGTCGCGGAAACCAAGCCGCACACCAACTCTCTGCGTCGGGGACGAAGCCCAGATTGGAGGCCAATCACATTGGGCATGGCGGCCGATTAGCACAGCTGCAGTCCGAGGTCGAAATAGCAAGGGGCCAATTCAGCCTGCAGATCAATATTGGATGCAAGCGGTCCCGCGCTCCCCCCCGCGGACCTTTTGGTGGCAGAATCCAACGTTGAAGGTGAGGGATAAACGGTTTGATGATTTGGGAGATTTCGAAGCGTTTGGTTGTTTGCGTTGTGCTCAATGGGCAGTACACACCCGCGTCTAGTCATCCTTGTCTATTTCTTCATTTCTTCGTCAAGATGAGGACGAAAGACGAAGACGAAGCCGAAGCCTTTGATGCCCTCGGCTAGCCTCAGCCGCAACAGGACGTCAAACAACCATCCGGGCGCTTAATCGAGTCGAGCTTGGCGTCGAGCTTTAACGCGCCGCCGTTGCCGGTTTCCCGAGCTTTAGTCAAGCCCGCCATTTCTCAGCCTCACCATATATGCAGCAGATACGGGGAGACAACCCTCCTTTCGCTTTTTGGTGTTTTTGACAGGTTAACCCGCCCGTCCAGTGTGCTTAGCTCTCACCAGGCCGGGCAACCAAGTCAAGCTTTCGTCCCGTCTCGTCTCCTGCCGAGGCCTTTTTGACGCCATGTTATTTCCCACGGATTTAAAGTCGCTGCTGGCTGCAATGCCACCCCCGTCTTTTCGTCGCTCCGATTGCCGGCTGTGCCCCCGTTTAGCTTCGGGACACTCACTTCGGGCGGTAGGCAGCGAAGAGCCAGTTGGGCGTGGCAGTGTTTGATAGAGCCGTTTCCCATGCTGAGAAGCTGATGACAGTGTCGATCCAAGAAGCAGAAGAAGATGGTTGAAGAAGCCTGGTTGCCTGGCGAAAGTGCTAAAGAGTCAAATCATCTCTAAGCCCTCTGGCGAGAGCGGAGCTGGTGCTCCTTCCCAGAATGAAGCTTAATCGGTCTTGTTGAAATAAAGCGGGGCCCTTCCGTTTGAAGAAACCGATTTCTGATTGTTTATCAAAAGATCCTTGCATACCACGTGATTATGTGACTGCCAGTTGGCCAATCACAAGCCCTCTGATGTTGATAAGAAATCTGCCCCGGTCGGAGCCACATGGTTAATATTGTGGCTAGTGAGCTGTTGTCGCTCTGTGGCTGGTGCGTGTGTCTGCACGATTCAAGAGCATCAGTTTCAAAGTGGATGACGGGTATACATACGTAGCTAATAATTCACCGGCATTTTGATACAGGTTTCCAATTATCTATTTATCGATTTTGATAGCAGCTTTACGGAGGTTATATTTATTACCAAGAGGATCAGTAAAGCGGCAATGGCTAGGTCAGAGCAAGGCTACGCCCCAGCCTTGGTTCAAAATCCAGAATCAATCCGTAGCCCAACAGATCGGCCACAATCGACCAAGTCAAACCTCAAAGATTCAGGCCACAAAGTATAACCGATCAAGGTTCAAGATTCAACTCAGAATACATACGCAAAAAGGCCTAAACAACAATGTTCAAGCACAAACGCAAGCTTCAAGCCGGCAACTTATAGTTCAATGACTCAACCAGGTCAGATAGGCTGTTGCATAGTTCCGACAGGTTATAAAAGGCAGCGGCAATCCTTGAAAATGGATTGCGCACGCAACGACAGCAGCATTATACAGCCTCAAATCACAAGTCTCCGTCTTATACAATCATCCTTCACTCCCAACAGACCAATAACCTCCTAGAACCGCCTCACGGGGCCCGAGATAACCGAATCCGGGTCCAGGAAGAGAATTTGTGGGCCTCCCGGCGACGCGGCGATCTCGCAGCAAAAAAAAAAATAGAGCGTCAGATCCCTTTAAACCCAAACTCTACTTTCAAGATACCACGATTCAATATCAAGTGTTAAGAATACTTCAAAAAGTTCAGACTCACGGGGTATTTATTTTTGGTTCTAGGTTCCAGTCACAATGGCCTTCACAATGCATTCCCATTCGGGCCAGTTCTGCCCTGGCCATGCCGTCGACCAGCTGGAGGACATCATCCTGCATGCTATATCTCTTGGGTATAAAACCATTGGCCTGACAGAGCACATGCCTCGCTATGAAGAACGAGACTTGTATCCAGAAGAGGTATGTCTCACTCGCGTTGCCATTGATTCATTCATGTCCAAGCTTGTTTATTACCTCGCGTTACACAGAATTCAACTCACAGCTACCCCTCCATCACATATTCACATGTCACGACTAACTCACTCACTCAACCTCTCACACAACCACTCACTCATATCCCCTAACTACCACCCAAATCTCACAAAATCACACTCAATTAACTCTCAATCTCCAGCTCTCCGACCCCCTCGCCTCCCTCCAAGCCCTTCCCCCCCGCCACAACGCCTACATCCTCGAAGCCCGCCGCCTCCAACAAAAATACGCCCCCCAAATCCACATCCTCATCGCCTTCGAAGCCGAATTCATCCGCCCCTCATACACGCCCCTCGTCCAATCCCTCTTCGCCGCATCCCCCCACGTCGACTACTTCATCGGCTCCGTCCACCACGTCCACGGCATCCCCATCGACTACGACAAAGCAACCTTTGCCGCCGCCGTCGCCGCCGCCGGCGGCTCAGAGGAGCGTCTCTATGAGGACTACTACGATTTGCAGTACGACATGCTGCGGGCCTTGAAACCGCGCATTGTCGGCCACTTTGACCTCATTCGTCTCATGAGTGAGGATCCGGGCAGGGATGTCAGACAGTGGGGAGGCGTCTGGCAAAGGATTCGCCGGAATCTGGAGTATGCTGCGCAGATTGGGGCTTGGCTGGAGTGTAACTCGGCGGCCCTGAGAAAGGGCCTCGACGAGCCTTATCCCGGCCGAATCATTTCAGAGGTAAGCTACATACAGATCCTACATGAGAGCATTTCCTCTCCGAGTTACTAAAACGTGAAATCATAGGAATGGCTCAAACTAGGCGGTAAATTCACAATGTCCGACGACAGCCACGGAATCGCCCAAGTCGCCACAAACTACAGCCGCGCACTCACATTCCTTGAAAGCCTCGGCGTACAGCAAGTCTGGACTTTCCAGCGCCAGAGCCACCCCGAAGCAGGAGAAACCATAAAGGCGACGCTCATCGACGTGGGTGTGCCTCTGAAGGACTTTCGTCTGCACTTTTCATAAAAATCTAAAAACCACTTTACTCTTCTCATTCTGAAGATATAGAGGTACAACAAAACACTTCACTTTTCTCATTCTGGAAAAATAGAGGTACAATAGGCCATAATAAGGCTACAAGATTTTTTTGGTTTTTGCTTCAGAGGCATACAAGATTAAGATAGAGAAGGAACTCAAAAAGACCATCTGTGAAAGATAAGAAAAAAGTTAGAATAAATAGCTTCCGACAAGATTTTTTTTTCTTTCTTTGTTTAGGAACGGGTATCATGTAATGAGAGCAGCCCAGCATTCCAAAGGCTGGTACCAAAGTTTTGGCAAAGGGGTTGCATAGTAGCTAGAATACAGTTGGTCTCAAAAAGGAGAGAACGAGCTTCAACAAGCGCTAAACAAGCAAAGGGGGGGGCCAAAATAAAAAGGCAAACAAACTCCTACCCATTCCGTGCTCCGTGCCGTACCGTCCGAGTGACATAGAAAATCTAATAGCATCTCCTTTTTTTGCTTTTTGATAGTAACACTTTACTTCCTTGGTGGAGATCTGGCGATGCCCCTGATGGTACCGCTTGGCTTCCTTTGAGCCTTGTCAGGTGAGGGGCTGCGGTTGGCCGATTGCTTGGGGGCAAAGGGAATGGCTCCGCTGCTGCCATACTGGAAAAGTGCACTGCTCTTCTTCCGAAGGAGGCCAGGTTGGATGACGTTTGGATTGCCAGCCGGGAGTGTCGGGGGCATCCACTTCAGCGGCTCCTGAGGAGCAATTGAGACCGGAGGTGGCCCTTCAGGTTGGTACTGGTAAAAATCGGCCGTCTCATCCAACGCTTTCGTCGAGCGAGGAGAGCTGACATTTGGAACAGCCTGTCTCGACTCGGGAGAAACAGTTCGTGGCGTGAAATGTTCCAAGTTGGGCGTTGATAGGCTGCTCTCAGAAGCGGTCGATAGCGCCGGCATGGTGCCATCTGGGGACGCGGCATTGATGGTTGGCCTGCGGCTTGTGGCGCTGTTGGGTGTCTTGAGGCCGCTGGACTCTACGGATCTGTTGGTACTGGCAGATGACGTGCGCAGCTCTGACTTGGCGACGGCTGCGGCTGCGGCTTGTTCGGCTTCGAGGCGAGCCTTTTCCCGTGCCTCCTTTTGTGATTGGGTAATCAAATTGATCTTGATCTTCTTGATGCCCTTGGTGATCTTATCCATGTCGTCAATAGTAGCGTCCAGCCTTGCAACTGCAGGTGCTGTAGTTGTTTCTGCAGGACCCTCTTTTCCGGCTTCGCGCATTGGTGACCTGAGGGCCGGCTCGCCATGGGCCGTACTCGGCCGTGACCTTCCAACAGTGATTCTTCCGGTAGGGCCGGAGAGCCTCGCTTGGTTGCCTGCAATTGAGAGAGGCCTCCCTGCGACGGGACCGGCAGATGTTGAAGGGCGAAGCGGTAGTTCTTCGTTGATCGTGGTGGCACGAG